TCGTCATGATCCATAACGCCCTGCATCGGATAACCCTGAACGACATGACCCAACCGTTGCTCCCATAGCTGAAGATATTGTCAATGCTCCAGTGCCCAGTTTGTCTCCGTCTTTCACTACAAGAAAAAGGCCAGATTCTGACGGAAATCTTCCGACGGACACAAAATTCGTCGGAAATGCTATAAATTCCGCGGATTTATATTCCGTCGGAAATTTTCGACGGAATTCCTACGGAATACAAATCCGTCGGAATATATGGGCATTCCGACGGAATTATTCGTCGGAAAATGTATATTCTGACGGAAATAAAATCCGTCGGAATATTCCGTCGAAACATTAATTTTCCGACAGAATTTAAATCCGTCGAAATTTTCCGACAGAATATTCCGTCGGAAAATAATTAAATAATATAAAAAAAAAAAAACAAACCCTTTAGATACCTAAAAAACCCTTATTTTCTTTCGCCCTCCCCGCCTCCCTTCTCTTTCTCTCTCCTCTCCTCTCCACTTTCCTCTTCCCCTCTTTCTCCTTCCTTTCCGGCGTTCCCTTTGCCTCGGCACCACTCCTCTTTCCTTTTCCCCTCTTTCTCCTTCATCTCCTTCCTCTCCTCTTCCCTATTTCTCTTTCCTCTTCCCTTTTTTTTCGTTTCGATTTCTTTGATTGGCAACTCAAGAAGATTTGAAGAGTTTCAATGAAAATCAAGGTTTTCATGTCAAATTCGACCATGAAAACTCTAGATCTAGAGTTTTCATGGTCGACTTTTACCTTATAAACCCAATTTCGGCGTTTTTTTTTTGTCAAATTAAGGTATGTTTCTCTTTTTTTTCTTCTTAATTTTGATTTTAATTAAGTTGTTGATTTTTCTGATTTTTTGGAAATATATGTTGTTGGTAAATTATGGATTATTTTTATGTTTTTTTTGTGTTTTCGGTGGTTGTTTTGGGTGGTGAAGTGGGTTTCGGTGGTGGTGAGGTGGGTTTTGGTGGTGGTGAGGTGGGTTTCGGTGGTTAGGTGGGTTGTGTACGGTAGTGGGTTTGGGTGTCGGTTGGTGGTGGTGTGTGAAGGTGGGATAGGTGGTGGTGTACGGTGGTGGGCTAGTGGGTTTGGGTGTGGGTGGTTTCGGTGGTGTTTCGTGGTTGGGGCTGGTAGGGGTGGTGCGTGAGGGTGGTAGGCCAGGTAGGGGAGGTGCGTGAGGGTGGTAGGCCAGGTAGGGGAGGTGCATGAGGGTGGTTAGGGGGCAGGGGGCAGGGGCTGGGGCCAGGGGGTAGGGGGCAGGGGGTGGTGCGTGAGGGTGGTTAGGGGGGCAGGGGGCAGGGGGTGGGGTGGGGCTGCTCTGTTTTTTTTTTTGTTTTTTTTATTCACATTTCCGACGAAATTTTCTGTCGGAATATACCTCTTTCGACGGAAAATTCCGTCGGAAACCTACCCACCTCTGACGGAAATTTCCGTCGGAAATTTGCGACGGAATTTCAAATAAAGTCAAAAACAGCGCCGACAGAATTAGATTCGTCGGAATAACGCCTTCCGACAAAATTTCCGCCGAAAAAGGTCGAATTTCCGACAAGGGTTGTTATGACAGACCAACTCCGACGGAATTCCGTCGGAAAGCCTAATTCCGACGGAATTTCCTATGTTTCCGACGGAATTTTTCCGTCGGAATCCAGCTGTTTTCTTGTAGTGTTTCCCCGACGGTCAATGTCGTGAAGGCGCACGACAGTGTCACAATGCTGGGGAATAGGCTGGTGTAGTCCAAACTGTCGCATGACGCGGTCAGGTAGGTGACTCTCCACAACCTCGAAACAGATCAAGGGGACCCCGGCACGCCACTCTCCCTGATGCTCCAGTAGATGTGCAGGCATAACATCCACCAACTCCGGTACATACGGATCCCATGTGATCTGCAATAACACATCCTAAATAAGTTAGTCCACAATTAGTATACACAATACATAAATGATTACAAATGTCCTCAAAGTGTCTACCTGATCTTCAGTGAGTCGATCAAGGGCGTCTCGGTAGTATGGGAGACCCGTCGCCGCATGTGCCTGTGTGAGTCTGGGGACCATCCACCTGTGGCAACAAATTTGTTATGTATGTTTGCAAAATGAAACCGTATATGGGAAAAAAAATGACAATTGTCACCAACCTGCAACCGTAAGCCTCATCAGCTGCAGGGCGAGGCGGAGCGATGTACGGCTCATACTGGTTATCCTGGTCCTGCTGCCCCGGACGATGTACAGAGTCATCTGAAGTGTTCAATATAGAAAACAAGGTTTATTACTTGATTCGATAAACAATTCTATTTACTAGATTGTACTATGTACAACAAACCGGCTTCTACGAAGAAGTATTGAAACACTAGTGATGGTCGGTTCGGGTGTGAGGCTGAGAGTGAGCCAAACCAAACCAACCCAACAACATGTTAAATAAGTCTGCTGAAGCTCAAGTTATAACATTCTGTAAACACCGAAAATACTACCAACTTCGTAACTATCTTGTTTAGAAGCTGAAATACAGTATAGTTTAGTTTTCCAACAAGACATGGACAAATCCAACCAAAGTTACGTAATGACTTGAACCGAAAACATAGAACATAATGAAGTAATCTTAACAGCCTCATTTAAGAATTTAAGATAGATAAAAGTGTATCCTACTCGGCTACTCCGTATTTCATAACCAAATACGTCCAAGGTTTAGTATCAATATTAGATTTACTTGCTTTATAATTATAACCCATACAAGTTAGAAATTTAAAACTAACGAATAAATTTTATTTTTTTTATTTTTTATTTACTACTGTACTCCGTAATTTCTTCAACACAAATATTATCAATAGTACAGAGTATTACTCCTTTCATGTTTTTTTTAAAGTGTTTCGCTTTGACCGGCACATAGTTTTAGGAAATTTAATTTACGTAAATAAAATAAAGGTAAGTATTGCAGTTGTATTATTAAAAAATTGTAAAAGAAAGAATGTGAGGTTAATAGTTTATTGAAAAGTAATGAATGTGAGAGAAAATAAATAATACGGAGTAATAATAAATAATAAAAAAAAGTAATACGGAGTAGTGGTTTTGGGTGGGGAATGGAGATCATGAAATGAAAGAGACATAATATTAAGGAAAATTTAACAAGAATAATCCAACATTTGCCCCATTCTCCCAAAATAAACCAACCTTTGGATTATTCCACAATAATTCGGACTTTTCTCCAAACTAAGCTTATTTGGAAAAATAATTTGCAAAGAGGTTGCGTGCAAAACTATTTACCAAACTAAGCTTTTGAGATAAAACGTTGTCTCGGACAGCGTTTTATGCCCTAATTTTTTTTTTTTAAAAAAAAAAGAATTTAAGTATGAAACGCTGTCTCGGACAACGTTTTTAGTTGTTGACTTTTTTTTTTAATTTTGTAATTTCTGATTTTTTAAAATTAAAAGAAAAAAAAATTCAATAGCACATAAAATGCTGCCTGAGACAGCGTGTTTATAGTGTATTTTTTTTAAATGAAACGCTGCCTGAGACAGCGTTTCTTGGGTAAGTATTTTCGTGTTTTATCGTAGGATTTTCACTTCACTCATCCTCAAATTTCACTCTCACGGTATCACTCCCTCTCACTAACGGACACTTTCACACTCAACCACCGCCACCGCTGCTGCCGCCATTCACTGTTGCTGCTGCCCCTCTTTCTCTCACTCACTCAATTTTGTGGTAAACCCTAAATTCAAATTAGTGTAATTGCTCTAAATTATGGTTAATTAATGTAAATTGTATCAAATTGTTGCTAGTTATTAATGAAATTGTGGTAAATTGTTGATAATTATTGATGGTGATGTGGTACATTGTTGGTGAAATTGTTCATGAAATTGTTGAAATTGTTGATGGTAATGTGGTACATATATGTGAAATTGTTGAAATTATTGATGGTAATATGTGAAATATAATTGTTGATTAGTATAGATTATTGGTGAGAAGACTCTTATTTCATTATTGATAATTTATCTATCAATTCATATTAGTGTAATGTTTATAATATTAGTTTGTTAGTAATCGTTTTGCATTTCAATCTAAACTAAAAGTTTATAAATGGAGTTAATGCTTAGTTTGTGGGCAACCTTTTTTACCTCGCTCTAGATTTCAATTATCCTAAAATGTGTTTTGGTTATGTAGAATATGGCTCCACAAAATGTAGTTTTGTTATGCCGGTCGGGAGGTGAAATTCTGTTTGATGGACCCCGTGTCGAGTATAGTGGAGGAAATATTGAACTAATAACACTTGAACCGAACATGACTTTCAATGATTTGATGAACGAGGTTCATAGTAGTATTGGTTCAAACCCAAGGAATGTTGAACTAAACATTAAAATGAGGTTTAAGACTGGCAATGGGGTTCAAGTGTTACCTGTTTCTACGAATAAGCATTTGAAAGCTTTAAGGAGAGTTGTTGCAATGAAGGGTGTTCCCACTGAGATATATGTAGAAATGGTGCCTATATGTATCCAACAAAGTACTCGGCCAGAGCAACAATCTACATATATTTCCGGTTACAACATAGAGCCCTTCCAAGTGCCCTCACACGACATTCCATCAACTAAATATGGGATGGGATCTTTCAGTCGAATACTGCACGACGATCAATTTCACATGCCGTTTAGTTCTCATATAGCTTCACCTGTTCATGGGGGGGCATATGTGGCAATGACCGGGCAACCTGGGCCTTTGACATCAAACACCGTCACACCTTCACCGTTGCAATTACATAGTTATTCGCCTATGCAAGATGATGTTCAAGCATCGTCGTCTCAACTTGTGCCAATTCATCTTGAAACTATTGTGGATAACGAATTGTCTGTGTATGATGTGTATACAAATGATGAGGCCGAGAGCGGAGAGGAGGATCGGAAGATGGACTTCAGTTAATGGATGTTGAACCTGCACACATGGAAGTTGGCGAGCCCCTGGTTAGAACTCCCGTACCTTGGTTCAGTCAGGTAAACGAGAACTATGAAGTTGATCAGTATTGGGCCGAATCGGGTAGCCATACATCGTTTGTTCCCGGGGGAGAATTTGAGAAGGGGATGTATTTCGAAAGAAATGGTGAAGATGTATTCTATACAGAGGAATCAATTCTACACCACAGTGACATCGAATGAGAGTGTCCTTCATTTGCAGTGTAAGAAGAAATGTGGTTGGATGCTACCGGGTACCAAATCAAGTGAGCGCTCGCGTGGCTTTACCCTAGTCACGTACAAAGTCCCACACCGGGAGAACTGTGTCACTGAAGTACTATCTACTGATCACCCGCACTTGGATTCGTCAATAATATCAGAGTATGTGAAGTCCTTTGTGCGGAAAGATCCGTCCTTGAAAGTTGAATTCATACAGGAACTCGTCTCCAAGCAATTTCATTTCGATGTTCCGTATCGAAGAGCATGGTATGCGAAGGAGAAAGCAATAGCTGAAATATTTGGGGATTGGGATAGTTCTTACGGCAGACTCCCGCACTTCATGCAAGCACTCCAACAGTCAAACCCGAGAACATGTGTCGTATGGAAACACAAAGCTCTGGTGGACGGTGTATACTACAGCAACATGGAAGTGTTTGAACGAGTGTTTTGGGCCTTTGGTCCTTATATCGACAATTTTAAACATTGTATGCCTGTTATCTGTATCGATGGGACGCACTTGTACGGGAATTACAAAGGAACACTGTTGGTTGCTACAAGTGTGGATGCAAGCTTCCAAGTATTTCCGCTAGCATTTGCGGTGGTTGAAGGGGAAAACACTTCCAGCTGGTCTTGGTTCCTGGGCTGCATTCGGGTTCATGTCACGCAACGAGATGGTCTCTGTGTTATATCTGATCGACATCTTGGGATTATTGCAGCAATGAATGATCCTAACGTTGGATTCACCGAGCCGTGAACCTATCACAGGTTTTGTGTTCGCCACATAGCTTCTAACTTGAAGACTCACGTGCAAAGCAACGAAATGAGAGATATGTTCAAGGCTGCGGCGTACCAAAGGTAGGAAAGAAAACTTCAAGCTGATCTGTGTTTCATCGGTGAGGCATGTACTAAGGCCATGGAGTATAATGTTCAAGTCCCGTTCACTATGTGGTCTCTCTTTTACGACGCTGGTCGCAGATATGGGATATGTACTAAAAACTTCTCTGAAACATTTAACAATGTGTCGAAGGGAGCTCGGTTTCTACCAATCATGTCCCTTGTTGAGTTAACTTTCCACAGAGTTAACAGGTATTTCACTTTGAGAAGGGAGTCTTCTAAGGCTAGGTCTGAACAGGGACTTGCATACCCCCCAAGGTCACTGTCATTCTGGAGAAGAACACTGCAAAAGCCAGATATCACAGAGTGGATGCGTATAACCGCCAATTGCATATTTACCAAGTTACAACATAAAGGGGAGAGCGACTTGGTAGTAAAGGAGGCCATAAACATACTGTCAACTTTCAATTGAGAACGTGCACATGCAACAAACCAAAGATATTCCACCTCCCATGTTCTGATGTTCTAGCAGTCTGTGCGACGTATTCACTATCAGAGTGGCCGTGGGTGGACCCTGTGCTGCAATCGGAGGCCTACACGAACACTTAGGCACCACAATTCTGGCCTATCCCCTGCGAGACAACCTGAACGCAGTATGTCGGCGGCCCAAACTCATTCCTAACGGCAGTATGGTACGTGGAAAAGGGCGGCCAAGGTCAAAGCACATACGCAATGAAATGGATGAGACTAACCGGCCCTCGAGCAAATGCAACCGCCGTCACCAGCAGGGTCACAACCAGACAACGTGTCCATCTAGACCGACATAGGACCTAAGTTTGTATTTGTTATTTGTTGTAGTAGTAGAAAGTAGAATTATTTTGTATCAGATTTTCTAAAGTTTTTTACATTTGGATCATTTCTATTTTCTACTTTGGATGTCGTTTGAAATTTTTTGTCTTTGCCTTTAACTCGTCCAGCTTATGTTTAATTTCTAATCCAGTAATTGTGTTGGTATTTGGTGTATAACGCTTTCAATGAACAGATATCATGGACCGGAGAAGATAGGAGGCCCGGACCCGTTGACCCTTTTGTCCTAACACTACAGGACACACATCGGAGCATTGCCATATGGGACCAGGCGGTAATATTTCATCCGTCCGTTCATGCACTTATGCATGTTAAATTCATATACTTTTTGATATTAATTACGTTCGTACGATTTTTTATCAGGTTGATCTAGCAAAGCAGCTGGTTTGCAGGCACTATACTACCAGGTTTATGGGGGAATGGGTTGTCGATCCACGCGTTATTGCGTATGTCGAGTTGGTTGGCTTGGGTGGTTTTCATCAGATGGCGTTCAGGGAGATCGATCGAGCGCTTGTCACTGCGCTCACGGAGAGGGTGGAGACAGGAGATTCACTCCTTCCACCTACTTGTTGGGGAGGCGACCGTTACGTTGCGGGACGTCGTGATACTCACGCACCTTCCTATACATGGGACTACAGTGACAGGACATGCATTAGTCGATCCCATTGGTTTGGTAGCTCGGGTTCTCGGGGTTCAACCAAGTCCCGACGAGATCAGGGGGTCCGGGTTGAGGGCCGGCTGGATACGCGAGACTTTCCGTGAGCTGCCGCCAGGCGCTGATGACGCCACGGTTTAGAGATACGCTCGAGCGTACTTGTTCTTTCTCATCTCGGGCTCCTTGTTCGGCAACAAGAGCGGGAGCCATCTGTAACTCATTTACCTACAGCTGTTAGACCACGACTAGGATCAAATTCGTGGCTACAGCTAGGGAAGTGCCTGTTTGGCGACGTTGTATCGCCAGCTGTGTAGAGCATCCCACCGCGGTTCTAGCGAGATCGGAGGTCCCTTGATTGTGCTTTAGGTAACTCATATAATTACCAACAACCTATTTCGAAAGCCACTTACCTAGTTTATACTAAACCTAGTTTTGTATTTTTGTGTTGCAGTTATGGGCTTGGGAGCATATCCATGTAGGCAGACCAGGTAGACCTGCTAAGCATCGTGGGGGGAGCAGGACCGGGACAACCAGTACCAGGCGTACGATGCTCCACCGCTCCCTACACCTAATGAGGCGTACGGTTGCGTGTTTGTTACAGTTGTCATTACTTTAGACTTCATATGGTTTTATTGTGCTAGTTGACAAACTGAAAAAAAATTCGGTATTAGGTGGGTGGTCCCCAGACTGACACTTGCGCATGCGGCGAGGGGTCTTCCGTACTACCGAGACGCCCTAGACCGACTCACCGAGGATCCGTATGTAGCTGACTTGGTTAATGCCATGCTTGCACATCTACTAGATCATCAGGCAGAGTGGTATGCCAGGACCCCCGTCATCTGTTTCGAGGTTGTGGAGAGTCACCTCCCCGACCGAGTCATGCGACAGTTTGGACTACGCCAGCCCATCCCCCAGCAGTGTGACACCAGTATCCGCCTGCACGGCATTGACCGTCGAGGAAGAGGGGAGACAGACTGGTCAATGGAGCATAGGGTTTACATTAACCTATGGCAGCGACGGTTGGAGTTCGTCGTTGAAGGTGATCCGATGCAGGGAGTTATGGATCCTCACGATCCGTACATGGTCTGGTACAGGCGGATTACACGGCGTTTCATCAACCCCAGCTACACATCACCATCCACACATTACCATCCAGCATATGACGTCATTAACGGATATGTGAGTTTCTTTTATTCTACTTATTTTCATCAATTTTTTAATTTTTATATCATACAACTGATTGATCGATGATTACTACAGGCGGCGGATATGGTGGCGATGGTTGATGCACTGTCAATCGCCCTTACAGACGGACCCACTAGACCCCAGGTCGAGCGGGTGCGAGATATGGGCGTGGCTACCTTACAGAGATATGGTCACGGCTATCTCGTCCACCAGCGGGGCGGCCATGATGGCCACTCCGTCCATTCACAGTTTGAGCTCGGCTAGAGTAGCGGTGGAGGTGATCCTACGTCACCCAGAGGCGCAGAGGATTACATCATCCACAGTTTTGCGCCCACCCCTACCCAGGAGGGCCCATCGTCTAGCCAGCAGACTCCCCCACCGCCCCGAGACCCATTCACCACCATTACTCATTATAGGCGGCGTCGTTTCAGACGGAGGGATGACAGACAGGGTACAAAACCGTTACCCCGAATAAATGAATCGGGATAGTATTAGCTGATTTATTTGTTGTAGCCGGATTTTCTAGAATGTTGTATATAACACTTACATTATTAATATAATAAATGTTTTTTAAATGAATCTGTGTGTGGTTGAAATTTAATTTCCTTATTTGTCCAAATCAGACTTCTGTCAGTCAAAATAGATCCTTATAGGCCGATGTATATCAAACACAAGACATTTGGGCTCATAATGAGAAATGGGGTAGAAGCGATGGCCGGTCGTGGTTAATGTGGTGGTTCATGGTGGTTATAGTGCTGTTGAGGATGGTTTTAGTGGTTTTAAGTGGCTAAGGTGGGCAAAAGCGGTGGTTGGTGGTGGTGGTGGTGGTGGTGGTTAGTGGTGGTGGTCGATGGTGGGGAGGTTGTCAGGGATCGTGAATGGCGGTGGGGATGGTGGTTGAGGTTGGGGTTGGTGGTGGTGGCGGGTGGTGGCTGAATGAGTGGTGGAGGGTTGGGGGCTGAAGTTGATGTGAGGAGTCTGCTGGTTGTTGTGTGTTGCAGCAAGCAAAAAAAACGCTGTCCGAGACAGCGATTTATGTGCAAAAAAAAATTGCACATAAAACGCTGTCCAAGGCGGCGTTTTATGTTAAAGAAATAAACGTTTCCTCAGCCAGTGTTTTATGTGTTTTTAAATTATTTTTTTTTTTAAAAAAATCAGAATTTACGAAATAAAAAAAATTAAAAAAAAAAAAGGTCAACAGGTAAAAACGCTGTCCGAAACACCGTTTTATACCTTAATTATTTTTTTATAAAAAACCAAAAATCAGGTTATTAAACGTTGTCCGAGACGACATTTTATCCCTGAATCTTAGTTTGGTAAATAGTTTTGCCACGCAACCATTTTGCAAAATATTTTCTAAATATAGCTTAGTTTGGAAAAAAATCCCAATAATTCAACCTTTATACCCCTTCTTCCCAAAATGAACCCAAATGACTAATAACCGGTCATTCCTTTCCCTCTCCTTCCTCCCACCATTTGCCATCATCTTCCTCCATTACCACCACCATTTGACTCTATTGTCACCCACCAACACGGCAACACCACTCAACAAACCATCCAGGCATCCACAACCACCACCAACACCACCATCTACAACCACCTCAACACACCAACATCACCACAACATCCACGACCAAACCACAACACAACCGCAAACATAAGCCCACCCACAACATATGACACGCAAACAACCGCAACTATCACCCGCAACACCAACTACCCACCTAGCCACCCACGACAATCAACAAAAAAACAAACCCTATCTATTCCCAGCCCCATAATTGAAGACATATGCCCCAACTTTGCCTTGAATTCAATTGGGAGAGAAAGAAGAATAGGAAATAAGTTTTGATAGGGAGGTAAATAAGTGGAGTTTGATGAGGGAGGGGAAGGGGTGGCGGGAAGGTTTAGGGAGGTGAGGTTGGGGTTTCGGAGTCTGGGTATGTGGGGTTGGATGGTTTCGGGATATGGGTAGGGTGGGGCTGGTGATTTCGGCTAGGTGGGTTGGGTGGTTTCTAGTCTAGGTAGGAGTGGGGGAAAGCTTTTGGGTCTAGGTTTGGGTGGGAGTGGCAATGGTGGTGGTGGCTCAAGTTCAGGTGATGGTGATAGTGGCTAAAATCGTGAAATGGAGTTGAAGAGGAAAATTTTACAAATATAAAAGTAAATTAAAAAAAAAAAACTAAAAACCAATCATGAAGTGCCACGTAGCACATGTAACCGGTTGTATCGGTAGGTGACCTGCAAGGTGTGATATGGGACAAAGGGGTATAAAGGTTGGATTATTTTGGAATAATCCAAAGCATCGTTGTCAAAATCGCGATCCGGATCGTAGGATCGTGCGATCCGGATCGTAGGATCGTGCGATCCGGATCGTAGGATCGTGCGATCCTACGATCCCATTTTAGCCAAACAATTCGGATCAGATGCAGAATCGCAGAGTAAGCAGGATCATTGTAGGATCGGTCAGGATCGCACATGATCGGTCAGGATCGGGTGGGATCGGACGATCCTATTTTTCATTTAAGCTATTATTAGTTTGTACAGGATCGATCAGGATCGGACAGAATCGTGCAGGATCGGTCAGAATCGAGTAGGATCGGTCAAGATCGTACGATCTTACTTTTTACTTATTAAAATGAGCCTAATGTAATCAAACTTTTCTTTAAGCTAAGAAAATTACTATCCAACTACTAAAACTATAAATTTTACCATTTTTATGGCTTAAAAAATGTTATCTAATTATGTAACAACCCTTTTATAACTATTTTTATCAATTTTGTAGAATCTTACGATTCTACGATCCGATTTTGCCGATTCGATCCTACTCCTCTCACCGATCCAAAGTAGGATCCCGATCCTGATAACCTTGATCCAAAGGTTGGTTTATTTTGGGAGAATGAGGCAAAGGTTGGATTATTCTTGTTAAATTTTCCTAATATTAATGTACTCCGTATCTTTTTGCCAAAAAAAAAAAAAAAAAAAAAAAAAAAAAAAAGTAACACTTAAAAGTATATGGAGGGAGTATTTTCCATCATCTTTAGTTACAAAAACATTTTAATATTACCTTCGATTTTTTAATTGACACATTTTGACTTTAGCACTATTCACACACTTTCCTTTAACCATGTTTTGTGCTTTATACGTAATGAAATATTTAGGCATGTGAGATCTTGTTAGATTCATCACGATATATATTTTCAAAATATTAACTTTTCATGATTTTTTAATATAGGTAGTTAAATATATTAAATTATGAATTTTTACATTGGAAAACGTGTCTAAAGAAACGTGTCAATTACAAAAAACGAGGAAGTAGGATGTTAATTAAAATAATAAGTGGGGCCTACATGCAAAATTACAAAAAGCATGTTGCTATCTATTAGAGAGGTTGTAGCCTAGGATACATGGATACTTCATCCAACTGCCGGACACTCGTTGGACACACAATGATAAGTCTCAGACCATGTCCTAATATGATACGGTTCATTGTGCTTTTTGATATGCCACCTTATCTTTTCAATTTTTTTTATGAGAAAATTAAAGTAAAGTAAGATAGATAAGGTATAGTTAAATTCCAAAAAAAAAAAGTAATAGTTAAATAATGGGTGTGGCTTCATAAATAGCTCATTGTTATATGTGAACTGAAAGAGTATTATAATATTGTTAATATGATATAATGTGATCTAATGAGAGGGCTGAATGATAATATAAAAGTAGAGAGTGAAAAGATTTCAATTGGACAAGTCCTTTATGTTGATAATCTTGTAATACATTTTAATTTGGATATTTTAGATTTTAACACCTGACAACAACCCGAAAATGGTTTTTAACACCCTCCAAAAAAAAACTTTTATTTTAACACCAGACAAAAACTATAAAAATAGTTTTTACCACCACTTAACGGTTTTCGTCCGAAAATTCCGTTAAGTGGGGTCCACAGTGACACGTGTCACCATTTTACTTGTTTTCAAAAAATAAAAAAAAATAAAAAAAAAACAAAAAAAAAATAGATGTTTTTTAAAAAAAAACTCAAACAACCAGAAGGCAGCCACCAACGGTGGCCCTTCTCCCTGGCCAACTCCCGAACCACCCTCTCCTAGCCCCCCGTCACTAGGTTTCGCCACCGAACCTTCCTTATCACCGGAAATCGACGTACCCTCGCTTCCCGCAGCCAAAATTCGAGAACCCCCACCGAAAATCGCGCCCAAAAAACGGCGACGAATTTCAAGGGTGGTGGTTTTGCGGCTGAGCAATCTTCCTTCCCCAAAAACGCCGGTGAATTTGGCCATTAATGGCTGAAATCGACCAGTTTTGGGGCTGAGTGGCCTTAACCGGCCGATTTCGGCCATCAATGGCCGAATTCGTGGCTGAATCAACGGCCAAAAATTTGTGGCTGGTGATGGCGGTGGTCGGGCTAGGGTGGTTTAGGGCTGCGGGAAAAGGGTGGGGATGGGTTTAGGTCGACCGGTGAGGGAGGGGGAGATGGTGCGCCGGTTATTGCGTCGCCGGCTGTGGGTCAAGCTGAAGAAGAAGGTGTCAGTGGTGGGGCGGCGGTGGGGCTAGGGTGGCTGGGTAGTTTTAGGTTTTTTTTTTTTTTTTGTTTTTTTTTTTTTTGGCCAATAATAAAGCGACATGTGGCTCATGAACCCACTTAACGGATTCCTAAACGGAATCAGTTAAATGGTGGTAAAAACTATTTTTATATTTTTTGTCAGGTGTGAAAATAAAAGTTTTTTTTTGGGGTGTTAAAAACCATTTTCAGGTTTTTGTCAGGTGTTAAAATCTAAAATATCCTTAAATTTATGATGAGCTAGCCCTAGTTACTCATTTTGAGTAACAATATCTGTTACTCGGCAAAATTGTAAATAATTGCTTCTTCCTCCTTCCTCCTTCCCATCATCACAGCCACCACAACCATCACCATCATCACTCAAGTCGATCTTCTTCTTCCCCGTCGACTTTCGATCTTCTTTCTCCCTTCGACCTCCGATCTTCTTTCCCACGTCGACCTCCTCTTCTTTGTCCTTTCTCAAGCCCACAACGTCGCAGCAGAACAAAACTCAATCTTTCCCATCTCCACCTTCCCTAATCTCCACCCACCTCCCCCGATATCCATCCACATCTGAAAAAAAAAAAAAAAAACGAAAACCCTAAGAATGAAGGGTGAAATTGAGGGCATGGTCAACCCCAAAGGGAAGGGGTGACCATGTCCTCCATTGAAGCTCCCTTAATTGGGCTTAATTTTCGAATATCGGCGAAGAAGTGATGATGGTGGTGGCTGTTTTGATGTATTCGGTCGGAGAGGTGGTGGTGGTGGTGGTGAAGAAGTGGTCGACGTGAGTGGATGTCATGGTTGAGTACTTGAGGTAGAAGAGGAGTGAGGAGAGAAAATGTTGAATGGTAGTATTTAAAAGACAATAGTACCCCTTTGTTTAACGATAAACCCAAATATCCAATAACATTTGTTATTCATGCACTCATAAAAGTAGGAAAAAATCTTCAGAAAAAAAAAAAAAAAAAAGAAAAAAAAAATACTTTGCCAAAATACTTTTGAGGTGTTTGATAACGTACGTACGTGAGATTAGAATGGGCATGAGATTGGGAATAATTCCAACACTCCACTCCACACAACTTTCATAAAGACTAAGGAAGCCTTTCTTCTTCATAATTGTTTCCAGAATTACAGAGTATACATGAACATGATCAGGTCTATATCAGACCTGATCATGTTGGAGAAGCTTTTCTTCGTCCTTGTTTTCATGGCGCCACTTTAATCAAGCTTCGTCCTCTTCATTTTCATGGCAGATCCTCAAGTAAGCTTCTCCATTTCTCTATTCCTTTTCCCTTTTTCGATTTCACTTTACCCCTGCTCCATTCGCCCTCTATTCACCTTTCTTTTCTGTTTCCTTCCCGAAATTACACCAATTACGCTACTCAAGACTTTGATTCTGATTTTGATGACCCCAAATTATTTCTGAAATTTGTTAGACAACAATCCAAATTAGGGTTTACTAATGTTGAAATCCCCCTTTCCCTCTTTCACCGTATGAAATCGATGCGCCCAATTCCTGGTATTATTGATTTCAATATGCTTTTTTCAGCCATGTGTAAGATTAAACCCCACCCCCCTTTCTCCACTGTCATTTCTCTCTACAAGCACCTCCTTTTGTCTGCTCTCCGTCCTGATATTTACTCCCTTAACATCCTTGCTAATTGCTACTGTCGTTTGAACTTTGTTGATTTGGGGTTCTCTGTTCTCGCCAACATTATTAAACTTGGTTTTCAACCTAATATTGTCACCTTTACTACTCTCATCAACGGCTTCATTCACTCTAATCAATTTGAGAAAGCCGTTCCATTGTTGGATAAAATTGTCAAGCTTGGCTTCCAACCCACATTAGTCACCTATGGTTCTATGTTCAAAGGTCTCTGTAGGTCCGGTGATAATGCCGGTGCTCTCAAACTCCTCAGAAACATGGAATCTTATGGACATTGTTTGCCTAATGTTGTCATTTATAGCACCATCATTGATAGTCTCTGTAAAGACCAGTTATTACCTCAGGCTCTCCGCCTTTTCAAGGAGATGAAAGTCAAGGGAATTTCCCCTAATGTTGTCACCTATACTACCTTAATTCGAGGTATGTTAACTTTGGGACAACAGAAAGAGGCTCAAGAAATGCTGACTGAGATGTTGAGGAACAACATAACTCCTACCACTGAGACCTACAGCATGTTGATTGATATGTATTGTAAAGATGGCAAGGTTGGTGAAGCACAGGACATTTTTGAATACATGACTAAGATAGGATTGGTTCCTGATATCATCACTTACAGTGCTCTGTTAGATGGATATTGTTTACGTGGTGAGATGGATGAGGCAGAAAAGCTTATGGATTTGATAGTTAAAAATGGTTGCAAACCTGATGTAGTTACTTACAGCAGCTTAATCAATGGCTATTGCAAGTCTAAAAGAATTAACAGAGCTCTTGGTCTGCTCCAAGAGATGCATTGTAACGGATTAGCCCCTAATGTTATCACGTACAACACTCTTATAGATGCCTTGTGCAAAGACAATCAACTCAAGCTTGCACATCAATTTTTCAAGGAAATGGAAGCTCATGGACTAAAGCCAGATGTAATAACTTGGAACTCATTACTTGATGGCATGTGTAAGAATGAACAAATAGATGAGGCAATTGCAACAAAGAAGCAAATAGAGAATACTGGAGTGGTCCCTAGTATTATTACATACTGTATTCTAATGGATGGTTTGTGTGAAGCTAATCGCCTTAGAGAAGCGGTGGACATCTTCTCCTTTCTCACAGCTAAAGGGCTGCATGATGTGCGTGCTTACAACATAATGATAAAAGGGTTTTGCAAAGAAGGGTTGCTAGCAAAAGCCGATGAATTACTGAAGAATATGGAGGACAATGGATGCTTTCCAGATGAATGCACCTTTAATACAACTATTAGAGGATTTATTGATGGAAAGGACATTAGGAGAGCATTAGAGCTTGTCAGGTTGATGAGAATCAGAGAGTTTGTTGCTGATAATCACACGATATCATCATTTGTGGGCTTAATCGCTGATCCAAATATCGGTGATGCAGACAAGGATTTGCTAAAAATGTTTTTTGAGAACTGAGTGAGCAATAGTTAGGAGCAAAGGTGGAAGTAGCAATGAATAAAGTATATATGATCAGCTGTGATAGAGATGTGTAACATCAGGAGGGAATGTTGTAAATTAGTAAGTCTTATATTTAATGTGTTTTGATTGATTGTAGGCGAAGACCTTAACACTTGTAATTTGGAACATATGATGCAAATGTGGATCAACCTGTAAATTTTTTATCTAATTGCTGCGTTTGCTTTCTATCTGCCAGTGGAGTTGCATATGTTTTCTTACTACCTGATAACTGCCTTTGAATATTAGCGGTACTAGAGCTCAAGTATAGCTATATCTAAGCCATGGCACAAATACAAGAACATGACATTGAAGATCGATGACACCAACCGTGTTTACTTTGCAAAGGAGTCAATTTAACCATTTTATGTAATTACACTTGTTGCACACAATGATCTACTTAGTTTTTACTCAGATTGTTTTTTTCATGATGTATGAAGTTTGGTTGTTGACTGTTAATGAATAATTTATGGGTTGTTTGCTTTGAATACGTACATATATTTTTTTTTTTCCCTATACAAAAGGATGATCTTACTACTGCTTAACTTGCACTCTCTGGTGCTGCTGAAGTTAAAGATCAAGGATCAACACTCAAGACTTCCATTAGATATACTTCGTAATTGATGGCTTGTGTGAAGCTTTGATTTCCTTCTCATCTCTCACAGGTAAGTGCTTGCAGCCAGATGCATTTCATAGTAAAAATCAAAGGACTTTGTAAATATGGTTTGTTGAATGGTGCCACTGAATTGCTACAGAAATTGGATGTCCTCTAGATGAATGTAAATACAATACAGTTTTTTTTTTTTTTTTTTTTTCAAGTATGTCAGCAAGACTTTGAACTTGTTGGCGCTATGAGAAGCGAAGGGTCTGCAACTAATACATATACAACTTTATTTGCCAGTGTACTCTGATACTCTGATAGTCTGATTATGCTGTTAGTGATTCAGATAAGGCTTTAGCTGAGAATTTTTACAAGAATTTGTATTCGGCCTCTGATGTTAGGAAATTTTGGTTTATGCTTAGTCTCTGCCTCTCTGGTTCTTCCCTTCTCTGATTATGTATCCTGTAACAAGTATCATCAGTAATAACCATTCTTTGGCTTGTTTCCTATAGTGCTGTGGTCAAGAGAGCTTTGCATACTCCATTATATGTATGTATACTAGTCTGCAGTATGGAAGATGTGTACTCGGCGACTTTGCACTGTCACTGTTGTTTATATGAGTATATGAAGTATAAAAGATGGTAGGTTTAAACTTAAGTTGGTGGACTATTCTAACTGCCATCTCTCTCTTTAGTCTATATGTTCTCAACCACAACAGAATATTAAAAGGCAAGATTACTTGCAATATCATATTAAAAAAAACACTAATAATGGTATAAAGCATTAATATAAGTATATATTCTAGTACAATAACCAATATCAGTTCAGAAAATTGAGCACATATATTGATTTCATATTCCTACCAAAAAAACAACAGAATGCAAGAAAATTAGAGATGAAAGATACAAGTAATACTATAAACCGATAGGATATTGACCAAACGAAAAGCCAAAAAAGAACTCAGATGCTTCACTTCACGTCTTGTCTTCACTATATATTGCGAATGTTTATACGTTACAGCTCCCACTAAAACAGTTGATTGTTAATCTCCCTCTCTTAGCCAGAACTTTCCAAAGAAATTCCTTCGCTCTTGGACCTTCTATAATGGCAAGACATGCAGTTGTTTATGCTGTTCTGATTGTCACTTCTGCAATTTGTTTCAGATCAGGTAAGCATAGTTGAGAACACCTCTGTTCTAGGAGTAATTGAACTGCATAATTTCTTGTTTCATGTGCTTTCAGTTTCATCTTTATAACTTGTGATTATTCCTTCTGTACAGGCTATGCACAGGATCCAGGACAACTTCTTATAAAAGCACTGTCTTGTTTCAATGCCGACAATGTAATTAAGCTCCCACATATCTTGCATAATTGTACTTGCACATAAGATGAACCTCATGTTGGTAGAGTAACGGAGGTCAAGCATTTCAATATTTTAGGCAAAATATCTTCAGAAAACTCGAAACAATTACACCTTTTTCCATCAGAATTTTAGTTGATTACGCTTTGTTGCCTACACTTTAGAAAGAGAACACCACAGCCTCAACCGTAATTCATATTAGTTTTCTGAATATCTGAAAAGTATTTTCTCCATGTGCATAGTAAAGTTGTAAGTTCTTCAGTACAGCAAAGAAGTTTTTTAAACAATAAAACAAAAATAAAAATAGTGTTGCTGGAAAACTTATTTCATACATATAAAATATCTTGATTATTTTACAAAATTACTCGTATATTTCACTGATAAAATGTCAGTGCAGATTTATAGTAGGTGCTCGGAAGCATACAGACTAACCCAAAGTGGATACCTCAACATACCTCCTGCTGCAACAGAACAGTTCTGCTATGGTCCGTGTTTGGCAGAAACACACCTTGTCCTTGACTGTGTCGATCATTCGCTGTCCAAATTTGTATTCTACAACAAGGCCACAATTAATGATGTACGAACAACACTTCAAGCAGCTTGCGGCCACACACATGAAAGAGGTACTAAGCTCACTAATCCTCACAGCATAAGGAATATTGTCCAATTGACAATTTGCCAACAACACCATCAGCCTTCATTAATAAAAAAATACCTGCAAAAAATGAGAACAAAAAATTTAGTAGCTAGACGCACAAGCCCAAAATTTTCTGTTTTTATTGCACTTTAAATAACTTGTGGTGTATTGTAAAATACTGTGCAGGCAACTTCAATGTAGAAGAATACATGCAGGAATATATGCAGGATTATTGGAGCGGCGCAAATCTACCACTTTTACCAAACAACTTGTTTACCTTGATTTTCCTTTCTTCAACACTAATCCTCATGATCAGAGAAGCTCTGTGAGGTCCTATATGACAGGAAGCCAAATATTTATGAGAAAATATTATACTGAAGCAACGAAGTAGATTTGCTTCTTTTTATTCAGAACTAATTAAATGAAAGAAGCATGTATATATGTACACACTTGACATCAAGCCATAATGCCTGCTTATGATAATAACAACACAAGGAGAATTATGTAAACAGGTATATTAAACCAACAGAACACTGAATGAGAGAAGCAGTAAAGCACAATATTTATATGTATACACTCAACATCAAGCCATATTGCCAGTTTATGATTATTCTCAATGAGAATTGAGTAAATAGGTATATAAACCCAAAGAAGAGTAGCGCCAATGTATACACTGCATATGTCCAGCTTATAATGTACTCGTTATAACACTACAAAGAGATCTGTATACATCTGTAAATAGACTTATTACCCCCCAAAGGCTTGTAAAATAATCAAAAACATGTGGCTGAGCAATAATCAATATGATTCATGATAAATATTTACCAAGTTAATCCCATACAAAAGAACTTTGAACCTCTCCCAAATCTCAACACTAATAAAGCACCTAAAAGCAGTAGATGCCCTAGCTCTCTGATAAAAGCAGTAAAAGCAGGTCACTCTCATCAAAATCAGATCACATGATAATGTGGCTCCTAGAAGGTGTAATTCCTTTTTAATGAATACACAATAGAATCACCAAAAAAAGGGTACTATGCAGCAACTCTGCTCCATGGTCGCTTCAAACCCCACAAAACATGTTTGCAGAAACTCCAGAAGATTGAAAGGGCAAAGCCATGACTTCCTATGCGCAGATGATTCTATTATGAAATCATATTTTATAAACTCATCTTACTTGTCACAAATGTGAGTTTTCCCATAAAGCCTTTGTTATGTATCATATTGGACATCATGAGATGCCATCAGTTCTCTATCTTCCCCCCCCCCCCCAGCTCTCCAGCCTCTCCAAGGCAAAAATGGTCTTCATTTACTTATAACCTATGATGCTTGGAATAGGATACGAGTGTCAAGACTCAAGCGTGCATCCAAGAGTATGATCTGAAAATTTCTCAACTTGAATATATAGGATGTAGTTATGAGTGTCCAAAGCTAAAATATGAACAAGGGGATAAGGAAACTTCCTTTGTCACATTCTCCAAATTGAAGAGTCAAAGTGTCCATACCCAGTAGAAGTGTCCCTAACATTAAAGCTTACAATTCTCTCCTGGAAGTTAAACAGCAGAAGTCACAGAAAACAGTACAAGATCCTCAATCAATAATTGGTCTTCTGTCCCCTAAGGTGATAAGCCTAATAGCCGCACAAATTTAATCAATCAAACCGGTCCAACATAATAAATATCTTTACGACATGTTCTCTCCAGGACATTTCTCAGGCTCTAGTCAAAATAGTCCCTTACATGCTTGCTGCTGCTGAGGCTGCACAACTAAAGGAGCTATTAAGTTTTATTCACTATCCAACCAAGCTGAGCCCAATGGACTTTCTGACACTATTATCCTTCATTAATACTCTTAATTTATCAACTTCATCCCATTTCCCTTCTTCTGCGTAGATATTTGATAACAATACATAATTACCAGAATTCCATGGCTCAAGAATGATAAGCTCTTTAAGAGCATGTTCTGCAAGTTGAACATCACCACGATTTCGTGAAGCACTGAGCAGGGCACCCCACAACACAGCATTTGGCCTCATTGGCATGTTTTTTACCAAGTCATATGCCTCAGTCAAACATCCACTTCGCCCAAGTAGGTCTACCATACATCCATAATGCTCAAGCTTTGGCAGAATTTTGTGCTTGACCGTCATCAACGAGAACAACTGCCGGCCTTTCTGTAACAGTCCTGCATGGACACAACAGGTTAAAGCCCCTACATAACTAGAATCATTAGGCTTAATACCTTTACTGAGCATTTCTTCAAACAAATCAGCACCAAGCTCGCCTTTCCCATTAAAAGCAAGACCTGAGATTAGGGTGTTCCAGGATATCACATTTTTCCGAGGCATTTCACAGAAGACCTGATGAGCTGTTTCCAAGTCTCCACATTTGCAATAGAAACTCACTATCGAGTTACCCACTGTGATGAAATCTCGAAAGAGTCCACTTGATTTAGCATATGAGTGCAACCTATTCCCAACATCAAAAGCACCCAAACGACCACATACAGGTAGAACAGAAACCACAGTAGCCTCATCTGGCTCAAAACAACCATCAATTTCCATATCCCTGAACACCCCCAAGGCCTCCCTATCCCTCCCACTCTTCGCCAACGAAGATATCATCGAATTCCACGACACAATGCTCCGTTCCCTCATCTGCCTAAACAACAACAACCCCATATCAATATCCCCCATCTTACAGAACCCACGAATCATCAAATTCCAAATGATCACATCCCTATGCGGCATTTCATCGAACACCTTCTTTGCATCCTCCATCTTCTCACAATTCGCATAAAACTCAACAATCCCAATCCTCACAGCATTACGCCGCTCAAACCCAAGTTTCATAATCTCACCATGAACAAATTTCCCAACCTTTGAATCACGGATATTACAACAAGACTTAATCAAAGGCGCAAATGTAAATTCATTGGGCAAAACCCCATCATTTTTCATAAGAGAAAAAAGAGATAAAGACTTCTCAAATGGCCCAGAAACAGAGTAACCCTTGATCATAGAATTAAAAAGGAGAAGACCAGGGAACTGGGTTTGCTGAAATACAAGCTCAGCGTACCGCATTTTGCCATTGGCCCGACAAACGGCAACGAAATGAGAGAGAACTTGATTTGATTGGTGGAGCTGGTGGCGGAGGAAATGGGCGTGGATTTCGAGAAGGCGGGTTCGGGTTCTGCGGTCATGGAGAAGACTGAGGATCCGGCGCTCCACTTCTCTGCTCATTTTTGTGTGTTTGCTGTAGTGCTCAGCTGCTCACGACGTGTTTGATGAAATGACTGTCAGAGTTTAGATGAGAAATAATTTGGAAGTTATTTTTTTGGCGCCAACCAAAGTAAGCCTAACAAGTTTTTACCGTTTAAAAGGTACTCCGTAACAGTTATGGAGTACCACCTCCGTTTTGTTGAGTCTTACTCATTTAATGTAATTATGCAAATAAAAAAATAAAAAAGGACTTTTCTACATAATAACCCTCCTTATTTCGCTTTTTTACGTTGTGCCCCTTCACACACTGTAACGTACATGTAGTAAGTATACAGTAACCATGACGTTAACAAATTCCGTTAGTAGGACCCACTTTCCCTTTATTTATATTTTTTTATCAATTTGCGTGTTGATAAATGTTCTGTTTAAGGTTTTGTGGACTATTTTGGTCCTTAAGGGTCCAAATTGAGCTCAGCTTTGACAATAAAATAACGTAAATGTCTCGTGTTACGTATTAAAAACGTAAACACGCAAATCGAGACATTTTTAATACGCAACACGATGCATTTATGTTATTTTTTTGCCAAATCTGAACTCAATTTGGTACCTTAAGGACCAATATAGCACCCAAAACCTATAATAGAACATTTTCCAACACGCAAATCAATAAAAAAATATTAAAAAATGAATAGTGGAACCCACTAACGGAATTTGTTAACGGCGAGATAACGGTAAGGTTACTTTATAGTAACTAAATGTACCTGCGGGTTACAGTGTAAAAAGTGATATATGGAGGGGCACAACGTAGAAAAGTGAAATAAGAAGGGTTATTACGTAGAAAAACCCAAAAAAAAAAAGGATTTGTTAAACATCGCCCGCAAATTACCATATAAAGCCCACAAATATGACTTGGTGTGACAATTATGCCCATTTTCTAAAATTGAACAAATCTCGATTTAAAAAATGTGGAGCCGTACTGGTTCGCCGGGGTAGACCGGAGGGCAGGCCGGAGATGCGGGGGACGTCGGAGGTACGTCGTCGTCGACGGAAAACGAGGTAAGTTACCGTTAAAATTCACGGTTTACCGTAGCAGTGGCTCCGGCGCCTAGGATGGACGCCTTTACCGTAGCATGGACGTCCAAGCCAGACGCCAGAACCACCACACCGGCGTCCAACCCAGACGCCCAGACCACCAGACAGGCGTCCTGGCCAGGCGCCAGTCCATTGGCTGAGGCGGCCCTGCTAGGCGCAAGTCCAGTGGCTGTGGCGGCCCTGGCAGACGCCACCCTTTTTAATTTATTTTTTTTTTTCTTTTTTGATTTTGTTGTTTTTTTTTTTTAAATCGAAAATGATTTTTTTTTAAAATTTGAAATGGGTTTTTTTTAAATTAATTTTGAAAATTCGAAATAGGTTTTTTTAAAATTAAGTTTGAAAATTCGAAATGGTATTTTTTTTAAATTAAGTTTGAAAATTCGAAATGGGTTTTTTTAAAAATTAAGTTTGATTGTTGAGAAAGGTTTTTTTTTTTAAATTAAGTTTGACAATTCGAAATTGTATTAAAAAAAAATTGGAAATGGTTTTTTTTTTAATTTATTTCAAATTGAAAATTCAAAACGGTGTTTTTTTAAATTATGTTTAATAATTTAATGTTTTTATTTATGTAGTGAGTAGATTTGTGTTAATGTATACCAAAATATTTAATTGTTTATGTGACTTTTATAAATGATTGTGTTTAAAATTTGTATGTGTATGTGTATGAATAATATTATACATAATTATGTTTTTTTTTGTGTTAATTTTGTGTAAATATAGAAATTAAATGTATTATCCGTTAAATGTATTTGTTATAATATATAATTGATGCAGGATTATGGTGGAGACGGAAATGATTACAATGGGATATTTGGACATGATGTTCCATTCGAAGAAGCTCAACAAGCGATTGATTGGGCAAAACAGGTTGCAATTGCAGCTGGATTTTGCTTGGTAGTAGTAACTCATAAATTTCAACGGGATGGTAGAATGGATCGCATTTTGAGATGTGACCGTTATCGCAAAAGAGAAGAAAGAGATTTTCATACAGCCACTCGGTTTGATACAAAGCGGAAAGGTTGTGGGTGTGAGTTCAGAGTAAAGGTTCGACAACTACGGAGTCGTGACGGTTGGGAAGTGATTGGTTACTCTAAATGGGGGTATCACAACCATGAGATGATAGTATATGAAGAGGGTCATCGACAGCTGAGCGGCTTAAGTCCTGCTGCGAAACTAGTTGTGAAAGAAATGAGTGATGCTCAAGTCAAGCCTGCTAAAATATTAGCATCTGTGTTAGAGAAATTTCCAGAAGACCATCCAAACCGAAGACACATCTACAACGTCAGACAGCAACTCAGGTTTGAACGGTCAGAGGAAAGGAACCCTATACAGCAGCTGCTACACCAGTCACAATCACGTGGTTACCTGTTCTGGTTTGATTCTAATGAAGATACGGCGGAGGTGACTCATCTTTTCCTTGTGCATCCTGATTGTGGTGATATGATCAAGTCTTGGCCATTTGTGATTTTGATCGACTCAACGTACAAGACAAACAAGTACAAGTTCCCACTGGTTGAGATCATGGGGATGACTCCAACGAACCAGAACTTTTTGATTGGTCATGCAATCATCAAGGATGAGACGGCTCCAAGTTATTATTGGGTCTTGGAGAAGCTGAGAAACTACATCGGGCCTAATGTTCATCCAGCAGCCATCGTCAGTGACTGTGAGGGAGGTCTCTTTGCCCCCATAGCAGAGCTGTTTCCAGAATCGAAGCACTTATTGTGCACATGGCACATCAACAACTGCGTGAAAGTGAAAGCCTACAACCTTTTCAACAAGAATTTGGAAATGGCAGAGAGATTGGTGAATGTAAGTGGCGGAAGATCCTACAGGCTACCACAGAGGAAGCGTACGAGCGAGAATTGGCTAACTTCAAGGATTCGTACCAGTGGTGTCCGGCACTGGTGGACTATGTGATGCAGCAATGGGTCCCTCACAGGGAAAAGTTTGTCATAGAGCTACCAAGGACTGGATTGATTCATCGACCGCTGCTTCGGATACTTTGTTTGATAGACTTAACAAGTCAATTGAAACTCAGAAGAACGGCATCAGGAACTCTCTAGAGGACTCAGACGACGACATGGTACGATGTATAGCCATTTCATATTTAAGATTCTCCATGGTCGTGTGTCGCACTACTGCTTGGGGTTGATTCTCACTGAGCTGAACAGGATGAGGGACTTGGCTGACGAAGTGTATGCTCGGTGCGGGTGTGCTATTTCAGTAACTCATGGATTACCTTGCGCATGCACCATTCACCGCGTTATTACAGAAGAAAGGGCGTCATTACATGTTGATCAGGTTCATTCATTCTGGCGGACGCTCGTTATTGGTGAGCATGCAGATACTCAAACGGCCGACCGTGAACAGGAGGAGTTGGAGCAGTTTCGTTCGATGTACGACCGAGTGTCCTCCAGTCATCCTTCTATTATTCGTGACGCTACTCATGTACTTCATGACATGTTCCACACGTCTACCTTAGATTTTGAGGAACCCGAAGGAGTTGACCGTCCTCTAGGTCGACAACGGCGGAACAGGAGTGCGTTTGAGTATATCCGTGGTCTTGGTCGTGGTCGTGCTCGTGGTTGGACATCGTCATCTAGTCGTAGTCAATGTTCATCGTCTGTGAATATGCCCCTGAGAACTGGTACGTTTTGGTTTTTTACATTGCACATTGTTTATAAGGTTACTCCTGCCTTCTTAACTATGTTTAATTATATGGTGAATAGGAAGAAACGATGTTGATCAATTTCCGTACAAGGACAGGATACCTAACATCATCATGCCATACTTGGAAGGGTGGAATGATGTAGTCGGAGATGGTAACTGCGGATTCCGGGTCGTGGCTGATGTTTTTCAAATGGGCGAAGACAACTACGGTTTGGTGCGTCAGTTGATGTACAGCGAAATTGCCTCTAACCGAAATGTTTATCGTCATGTGTACCAGGATGACTTGGATGGCGCTCTGCGGCGTATCCGGTGGGGAGGTGGACCTTGCGGTCAAAATCATTATTTTGACGCGCCCCTAAATCTGTTTGCCGTTGCAAACATTTACAAGTGCGCAGTCATGCATTTCGGGCTGGGATTGCATACTCAAGCTTATTATCCTTGTACCACGGTTCTCCCTTGGCGTTCGCGTGAGACTGTCACCACACCGGTCAGAGAGGTAGCTATTGCGTTTCTTGGGTCGTCATACAGACATTTCATCCGACTAGACATGTCATCCGATTTTCCAGTGCCACCGATTATACCTCGGTGGTACACCATTCGCACAGTGAGCGTAGAGGGTTGGGATGCGCTGTATCATGACCGGATCCACGAATGGAACACCCTAGCTGCATTTTAGTTTTTCATGTTTACATTCTTCCTATGTAACCTTATTTGTACGTTGCTCTTTAAATGAGAACATTAATTTTTTATATTGTATTGCTTATTGCATTCTATATGTTGCATGGGTAAGTTGCGCGGATCCACGAACGGTTATGTCAAAATTTAAAAACAGCAATGATAATATGTCAAAGTTGAAAGCTAAAAGAACAATCTAAAATGTTACAAACTTAAAACATAATGTCCAATTTAATAAATTAAAACGATAATATGTAAAGTGCTCTATAAAAAAAATGACAAAACCATCAGTAATCCCTCCTCGACGCCGACTCCCAATGCGCAAGGGTCTGTTCCAGACTATCAACAACAGCTCTCACTGTTGCACTCATGCTGTCCTTCTCCAGAGAGAGTTTCTGTACGTCCTGCATTATCTTTCCCATCCACTGCATACAACAAAAAATAAAACATGAAATACAATAACAACATATAAAACTTAATTAAAAAACAACGATAAATATTTTATGAGACATACCGCTTCCATGGCAGTAGGCGGTGGCATATAATCATCATCGCTGTGGTCGAGATCTGCGATCAACCTCGGGTGCGAATACCGGTTGAACCATTCCATGTAGTAGTGGTCACACATGGGAGGAACCCCAGATGGCGGCATCTGCAACTCCGCAGTCCATAAGCGGGCCACCATCGGAAACTGGTCCCACGTCCCAGTCATGATATCCGGCCATTGCACGACGTAGTCCCTCGACGATGCAGGTCGGACCGCCTTCATCGGGCATGCCGGGGGAGGAGGGACAACTTGGACAAATCCAAGCTGGCGAAGACAACGCTGGGGCATGTACGCCTCGACGATCTCACGATACTGAATGAGTCCCGTGTACAGGGTCCTGGGTACCCTAACACTAGGGTTCGAGCCGAAAGGCATCCAGTTCACCTCCACATAGTTTTAAAATTTAATAACATGAATATAATAAGTGCATATAATAAAATGTAGAAATAATTTATAAACGTTACCTCTAAGGGGGACAGCCTGTCAAGCAATAACCATATCGATCGGAGGCGGTCTACGGACTTCTTCTCCGAGCGCGGACTCCACGTACAAGCACGCGGCATCCCCTCATCAATAGGAACCGGGTCACGATGTGGTCGCAATGCAGGAAAGTACTCGTATATCCAGGTCTGCAATAAAGTCAGACACCCAGTGATACCTGCCGCGTCAGCCCGACTCGCAAATGCTAGTTGGCGATACAAATACGCCAACGTAGCCGATCCCCAAGAAAACTGGCCTACACTGTCGGGGTCACACGCCTCTACTATGTCGCGTGGCCTGAGCTTGTTTCCGCCGCTCTTATCCGGAAACAAGGTACATCCGAGGAGTAGAAAAACATAAGCAGCTAGCTGTGCGTCGTGCGTCCTACGTGCACTGGGGTACAAACACCACTGCAACACGGATGCGATCTTCACACCGCCGTGTTCCCAAACACCAAGCGCCTCTGTGTACAGTGCAGCCCTGTCCACCGCCAACAACTCCGCCAGCAAATCTGCCTGATCCGCATCAACCACAGCACAAAGTCGTTTACCCTCAACACGAATCCCCAAAATGGCCTCGACGTCATGTAACATGATCGTCATCTCACCGAACAAAAGGTGGAAATATCCGGCTGCCATCGCTCAACGAAAGCCGTGATCAACGTACTGTCAATCTTATCGTGCATGGTGGCAGGAACGTGATTCACCCCAGTGCCCTCCAGTCGCTCGAACATCTCGCTCTCCGCCTGCCAAGCCTCAGCCCATGTACGCAAAAAGCTACAAGTCTTTTCCCGGGTATGACATTTCAACAACCCCGTAACTGAAGGCCTCTCCTGGTCCTCCCAAATACGGGTAGCTATGTGTCCTAGAAAGCTAGGAATCACACTCCCGTCAAAAGGCCCACCGGGCACCTCACTCCTAACAACCCAAGAATCATTAACGGCCCTCGACCGTTTCCTGCTTGCCCCAGATACAGTGGACGCAGATGATGTGCCAGATCTACTGACAAACCTATCACCCCTACCCTTACGCACCTCCACCATATGTGTCTCGTACATGTCATCAACCCTCTGACTGAATGGACCGTTATCATCATACGGTCCACTCCCATCGTCCACATCCTCATCCTCATATGCGTCCTCCTCCTGCTCCTCCTCATGGTCACCCTCCTCACCATCATCATCGTCATCGTCATCCTCATCCCGACGGTGGATCCGTTCTCTACGAGCCGAGGCCAAAATACCACGGGATCTAACATGTCTATGCCCCGACCTCTCCACTGAATAACTTCTACTAAGAAGCTCTACATTCTTCCCTGCACCATGACGACCCAGTGAATTCTACAAAAAATTTTAAAATATATAAACATACAAAAGTTTTTTAGAAAAATAAATAACTACCTATAGATACAAAATACCAACACTTCCAACTAATTAAACATAGAAAAATATTATACGGCATACACAAATACACACATAATACCCTAATATATTACAAAATTTATGATTTACAAAAAAAATGTATAAAAATTATTTCAAATAATTAAACATAAAAAATAAAAAACAAATATATTACACATACACAAATACACACATAATACCCTAATGTATTACACATTTTAAATTAAAAAAACAATTACACATTAACACAAACAATTTCCACATACTACATCAATTAAGGCATAAAAAATGTTTAAACATCAAACATAAAAAAAATAAAACATAAACACAAAAAAAAATCTGATTTTATAAAAATAAAATATACACGATTTATAAAAAAAACACAAATATTTTTAAAAAATAAAACACATTAACAAAAACAAATTTAATTTAAATAAAACTAAATTTCTGATTTTGCAAAATAAAAAAAAAAAAAGGGTCGGGCGCCTAGCCAGGACGCCCACCCACTGGCGGTGGCGCCAGCTCCGGCAGCCATAGCCAGTGGGCAAGCGCCTGAACTGGACGCCTACCCATAGGCACAGGCGCCAAATCTGGACGCCACAGCCAATGGGCTGGCTTCTGGTTTGGACGCCTGTCCGGTGGCTGGGCTTCCAAGCCAGACGCCACGCCACCGGCGTTGCCTGCCGGACCTAACGCGCTACTGTCGCCCTTTTTTTTAAAAAAAAAAATAATTAAATAATTACCTTGCCACCAGGTCGCCGCCTTTCCTCCGCCGTCGCCGCCGCCACCTCTTTCCCTTGCCGCCTCGACATTGTCGTAATTAATTTTTTTAAGAGAGGTAGATTTTCTGATTTTTTTTAGAGAGAAGTAGAGAGTTTTTTTTTTAAAAGGAAAAGGGCAATAAAGTCACTTCAACACATATTTGTGGGCTTTATATGGTAATTTGCGGGCGATGTTTAGCGATTTACAAAAAAAAAGCTAAAAATAGAGACTATATACGTGAGTACTTTTGTATTAAAGAAGAGAGAGAGTAAGAAATTTATTTTTCAATAAATGGCCCTACAAAGGAGGGTTGTTATGATAAAAAAAAATGAATAAACAAAACTTTGTAAAAAGAATAGTAAAAGTTAGTAGAAATTCGAAAAACTGATGAAATCGAAAAGTGGGGGTTAGACTTAGGAAAACGGAGGCAGTAATAGATCAAAGGGATTATTTAAAATTGCTAATAGGTCAATTAGGAAGAATATATTTTTAGCTCATTTGGATAACCTAACTAAGTTTCAATGGAACAACATTTATACTGTATGAGTTGCACGCTTTCCATTATGTATATGAGTTTATCGTATTTCTAATGCTCCAAAATTAATTAGATCTTATGAAGAGTGTTGAATTCAATATTCATTTTCAGAATGAACATTCATAAGGTGCATACAACAAAGATTGTATAAGGCATATAGGTCAATCTGTCAACTTGATATATTACAAGTACAAGATATTCCTTCTAAAGATAATCAATTGTTAACAATTGATTATAATTTGTTCATTACAAAAGTTTAAAAATTTCGTTCAGTTCAATTTAATACTTCCAAAACTTCAGTTTAATGAACTTTCAACAAAATAAATAAATAAATAAATAAATCTAATACTCTTTAGTCTTTCGTAAAGCAATACAATTAGTTGAAAAAGAACATTCTAAGATGATGTCTTTTTCATTATATACTTTTTTTTTTTTTTGAGGTGAAAGAGGGCAATATTTGTTATAATACTATCAAGGTCAGCCATAGAATAAAAATTTCCTTAAAACTCCACTGATATTACTATTCCTTGTATGAAACAATGAACAATTTGCTGCAACTTTTTCTGAAACCTCTAGTTCAAGAAGATTTTATCAGAAACATAAGATACAATGACTAAACTAACAGCAACAGAAGTTAGCGGTGGTCAATCCCTACGCTACGCTACAGAGAAAATACAGAAAAATGGATCATTCAACCTTCTCATTTTTTGGAAGAACCAAAACCACCAAATCCCATCATAGCAGCCACTTCAGTATCTATCTCAGGCTCCTCCACAACAGCCTTCTCTTTCTGGTACAAGAAAGCAACCGTTAATGAATTCAAAGTTGTAACAATAGAACTCCATGAAGAGATAAAAGAGAGAAAATCACATAAATTAATTTCATTGTACAAACCTTCTTTTCTTTCTTTCTCTCCCGACGCTGACGTTTTATCTCCTCCTCCTCTTGTTGCTGCTTTAATATTCTTTCGTCAAGATCTGAGTGAAAAAGGCACCACTTACGTCAGGATACAATAACATTAACTACCTCTTACATGATAGGCTACCAGTTAATATAAATACTAGTACAAGAACATTGCCAATCACACAAAAACAGTAATGTATTCTCACCTTGCTCTGAAAAACTGCCAGGCGTTTTTCGCTTTTTTAGAACCTCAAACCGTTGTCGTACCTGAGATTAATAAGGTAATATGCCATCAATCCAACACAGCAATTATAAGCAGCAAGTCCAACATGGAGTGTCTCAAAAATAAATTTGGGCCCCTTTACTTGAGTAGCTAAGTGAGGGAAAAGCTAAAGAACAGGCAATTCTACTTCACACCATTGCAACATACACAATTAGGATCCCACTTCATAAACTGCCCTTTCCAAACACATTATTTAGATTTACAAAATATATCTTCCAAACACAATTTCCTCAAACAACCTCCCCTCCCCTCTCCTAAATTGTGTAGGATCTAGTTGCACTCTACCACTCCATTTAAAAGGGATTTATTCAGAAATGTCAGCATATTCTAATATCGGGTCTGCTACACACATCAACATAAGAATGTGAGATGTGCCACTGATGACTAGCCAAAGATGACCAAATAGCATTTGATAGGATAGGAACCTTAACCTATATAACCAGAACAATGACCATAGGCAACTATTGGCAGTTGTCTGACAGGAAACGATTGAAATTATATGGGGCAGAGTAGTATGGATTAGGAGGTGATAAGCAAGCACTGAAGGAAGTTGCCAAAGTTCACAGACACTACCTTCAACATCCACATAAGAATAAAGAGGGCAGTTAGCAGCGGAATGGGGTGGATTGAATGGGAAAAAGGAGGGTGTCAGACTGTTCAACTGGAGGGGAGGAAAGAAACAATGAAGCAGAGGAGGGAGAAGGGGAATAGGATTTTAATACTTTTTAAACATAAAATTGAAAAAAATTAACGATGTAAGCAAATCTGTTAACTTTTAACGATATTTTGCAAGTTCAGGGTTACCCTAGGAAGCAGTATAAATTTTTAGAGCTGTATGAAAAAAAAATTAAAAAAAAATGGTCATACAGTTTAATTTTCCAAAAAAAAAAAAAAGCACAAGTTCAATTATTTCTTGACCACAATGCCCCAACAACTCTTTTTTCAAGGATTTATGCTCTTATACTCTTCCATGATAATGCAGTCATCATAAGTATCACTCTTTCACAATATATAAGATTCTTCCTAATCCAAGATATTGAACACTCAAATTACAAAACAGAGCGATTAGTATCAAAGCTTACCTGATCCAGAGTTGCTCGCTCTGATCGCATAGACATACCCAAAGCCCTTTGATCTGATATAAGCAAATTCATGATGAGGGTGAATCAAAGTCCCATGTGAAAGTAAACAAAAAGGCAATAAAAGAAGCAGCTGGAGAGTACACACACACACGCTTACACTCACACACACACACACACACACACACACACTCTTACACACACACACGAGAGAGAGAGAGAGAGAGAGAGAGAGAGAGAGAGAGAGAGAGATCAGCAGATCCCCTAGTAAAGCTTACGTTTTTTGCCATTGATGTGGTCCAAGTAATTTGCAGAATCCTTTACCACACATTCACAAACTGAACAAAAGTAACCAGCCTGCAATAAGGAAACTTTAGTGAGCACACAAAAACCACTAGAATTAAGACCTTGATATATTAACTGGATAAACCACCATCCAATTATGTTCGAACTGAGCAGTTACTCATGATATATTGATCACACTCAGATTTGCATCAACATGAAGAGGCAAACACTCGCTCACCCCTATGAAAGTGCTGATAAAGAAACAGACAGAACATAACTTCAACAAGATTTGCACTCAGGAATCCAGCATAGAGAAGCCTAAAGCATGTATACTTTCTATATATGTCCATCTTTCCAACAATTTTTCACCTGAATTAAGCTAACGAAAAAGTTGGAAACAGCAGCCAGCATGCAAAGGAGATTGGTAAAAAGTACCAACCCCAGCCAAAAGACTTATCAACTACAAAGGAACTGGTTTTTTGATTAAGTATACGAAGTGCCAACAGGAAGAGAGAGGAAACATAAAGTCTCCAGTTGGGTTAAGAAAAATTACAGTGAAATGCACCTACAAACACCAACAATGAGCAAGCTCTTACTTCTTATATAACACTGCCTAGGAAATGGATGACATCACCACTCCCTCAAAAAAGAAATGGAAGTTAAAAACAGGAAATGCGGGAACCTACCTAATATAGTCAACTTTTGGAGCTAATTACCTACTATAATTCTATTTAAAAGCAACTACCTTATAACAAGCTATTTGGTGTTGGTAGGTAGCACTTCCAACTAGTGGAAGACGTTAGATATTTCGTCAAAAGGGCCCACTTTCGTAGCTTTCCTCCCTCTCCCCACCTTTCTTCAATTCCATTTTCATATTTTCCACATAATAGATCCCTTGCCCTTAATTCTCCCCGCCTTCACCGATCCAAGCAACGGAATTCCCTACTAAGACTATGAATTACCAAAGGTTTGAGACAGTATTAAGTAATTAATTCTAACTACTTGTGGAATTATTGTCAGTTGCCAGACTAGGGTTTTCAACAATTCGGGAGTAACTGATTATCGTTCAAAAAGGTTGAGGGTGATAACACTATGTTTACTTCAAAAATTTGGATATTTGGCATTAGCACATAATTGACTTCCTTGTTTACTCTCCACTTAATTGTTATATTTTCAGTCTAGGGTTTTCCTTTAAAAACAAAGTGTTGTACAATGTTCAGATAACCAATTGTTTCTACTTTACCCCCATTTATAAATTTTCTTGATACTTCCCAATCCAGGAGCCAATCCTAAATTGAAGGCAATATTCAGCCAAGCCATCCACACACATCTACTTTGTCCAAAGGCAACTTGAATGAAACGAATGGACCCGCAGGAGGCATAAAAGGAGAGCCAAGCATGCTGAGCTCAGGACAGCAGGTCTTGCCTTCCCCAATCAATACAGAGATCTCAATCATCCAGTCATCCCACGATACTTCATCGGAAATAGCTTAATTGGAAAAGGATAGGCCTTGCCAAGGCTGAAATTGTTACGGAGAGATACTAATTCAAGCTCCAAACAAAAACTCTTAAGATTAATGCCAAGCTTTACACTAATCGAAGCCTTACACATTCAAATCCAGCTAAAAGAGAGACTCAAAAAACTGAAGCATCATTTAACCAACAAACGAAGATGTTACTTTAATTTGTTCGCCTAATTCCTCTCAATTATAAAAGGAAAATTTGTAGGGATATATGTCATATTTTGGAACAGCTACATAATAAATTTTCTTTAATAACTTCTACCTAATATCAAGTATTTGATTTTAGTAGCACTACCAAAAGATATCTTGTTGTCGATTGGCAGTGCTACTATGGCTTTCCAAGTCTAACTCTTAAACCACAACATAAATAAATGTTATTTGAAATGTGATCCAATTTCAATGGTGTTCAGTACTATAAGTCTGAATTTTGTAGTTGCCTGTACTGCTGTACATAACACACAGGACATTCCAACCAACTCGAGAAAGCAGAGAGACAAGATTCAGAAGAAAAAAAAAAACGCATTAATCTTATTGATACACCAATCTAAAATTCTAGAGGATGCCAAAAAAAATAAGTATATGCTAACACTACTCCAGGCAAGCAATTTAATAGCCCAATCTAAATTGCTTCCTCCACTCCCCTAGTCCTCTTACCCTTCCCTACCCTCCCCACACACCCCTAGTCCCCTAGATCAATCAACAAAAAACATGCCCAGAGCATATAACAGAACATAACTGAACCCAGAAGCAGAACCCAGAGAGAGAGAGAGAGAGAGAATATACCTGCTGGCTAAGTGGTGCTATTGGAGTGACAACCTGCAAAAAAGCATTACGAGAGTCAGCATTAGAAAAAGAAGATGTAAAAAATAGCCTTACATGTTTCTTACGAATAAATTAGGAACTTCAGTTGAATACTTATAGCAGTAAGTTTCAGATGTAATGTATACTGCATACAACTACTCATTATTTGGCCGGGGATAAGTCCCTAAAGACTCGCATTAGGTAATTTTCTAGCATTGTAAAGATATTCAACTTGGTTCGGAAAGTACAAAAATCAAACCCATTCATATATTTGTATTGGACGGCCAAGGATATGAGATGGGGTACTTTTTCCATGGTCCAATGTCAATAGCATAAACTATGATTCACTGACCCATAATAAAATTTCACGCACACATACATGTTTTTACAGGAAAGTAAAAAGTCATGAGGCCTAGCTGGAAATAGCAAATAAAGACTTTTAATAATATTATACTTGAAAAGAAACTACATCCAACAAGAAAACTGTGTTGAACATACTCTACATAAATTAATAATTCTAATAGTTTTCAGATTCATACCACCAAATAAAGAATAAAATATCAGAAAATGAAAAAACACTTATTTAAAGAAACTCTTTTATGTAACAGCAAGATTAACCAATTTCCCAAGCGTAGAAGTCCCACATTCATATCCATTTGCATCTTTACTACCTAATTTTATCATCGAGTCCAATCCCCCTGCCTCCTAACTCCTAAGTCCTCTTTCTCAAAGTCACAATTTACATATATCGTTTTCCTTTCTCCAATTGTTCTCTACTGTTGTTTTATAGGGTAAAGAAGAAGGATCTTCATATGGTTTTTATTGATCTAGAGAAGGCATATGACAAGATGCAAAGAGAGGTACTTTGGTGGGGCAATGTTGAAGAAAGGTATCCCACGAAGGTACGTGGACCTGGTTAAGGATATGTATCGGGATGTGTCATCAAATGTGAGGACATGTGGAGGGTTGACAAAAGATTTCCCTATTACAATCGGATTGCATCGAGGGTCTACATTAAGCCCTTTTCTTTTTGCAACGGTTCTAGATGAAGTAACTAGACCAATTCAAGATGAGGTTTCATGGTTTATGTTGTTCGCGGATGATATCGTTTTGGTGGATGAAACTAAGGATGGGGTTAATGCCAAGTTAGAGCAATGGAGACAAAGGTTGGAATCCAGAGAGTTTAAGCTAAATCAGAGTAAGACCGAATATTTGGTATGTTACTTTGGTACTTAGAGGGGGACAAGCAATGAAGTGGTGAGTTTGGATGGAAATGATTTGACCATGAGTGATTGTTTTAAGAATCTTGGGTCGATCATCTAGAACAATGGTGACATTGATCAAGACGTGGCCACAGGATTAAGTCGGGGTGGTTTAAATGGAGAGCGGCCACGGGAGTGTTATGTGACCGAAGCATTCTCTTATAATTGAAGGGAAAATTCTATAGGACTGGCATGTGTTGCTCTATGGGACAGAATGTTGGGTTTCTAAGAAGAAGCACATTAAAAAGATGAAGGTTACGGAAATGCGCATGTTAAGGTGGATGTGTGGGAACACTCTAAGAGATAGAATCAGAAATGAGGTTATTCTCAAGAAAGTAGGTGTGGCAAGCATTGCTGATAAAATAAGGGAAAATCGCTTACGTTGGTTTGGGCAAGTAAGACGGAGACCCGAGGGTGCACCAGTTCGAAGAGTGGAAGAGTGGGACCATGGAGGGGTTAAGCGAAGGAGAGGGAGACCGAAAATGACTTGGTTGGAAGGAGTTAGGAAGGATATGAAGTATATGGATTTACATGAGAATGAAGCATTGGATCGTAAGGGATGGAGGAGGAAGATTTATGTCGATGACTACACGGATAATCAAATTTGGTTCATGTTAACCGACCCCACTAATGGGATTAAGGCTTTGATTGATTGATTGTTTGTTGTTTTCCAATGAATTGATAAAATATCAACTACAATAACCCAATATTAAACTCTTCACAACAAGTCTAGGGAGGTCAGATATATGAAGCCTTACCCCCACCAAATAGTCAAAAATTGAGATTTGGTTCAAAAATTACTAAGTCTACGTGTGTTTGCGCTTCAGAGAACACAAACTTACATGATACAAACATAGAGAAGTTCCAGCCATGACAGTTCTAAAAGAAAGAGATAGTCATCTTAAAAAACAAGTGGTTTACGACTAAACACAATAGATTAAATCTTTTCTCCCAGTCAGATCACAGTAAACTAGCTTAAACTAGCTTACATGCAGCCCAGGCCCCAGTCTAATCACTGCCAGTAGGAGCTAATACAGCTCCATAAATGGAAAAAACTCAAACAGCAGGACAGGTTGACTGCAAGGATGCACAACCCAAAATATGATCTACCTTCTATTGATACTATAAAACAGTACTCATCTATAAGTCAATTTTTTCTCAAAAATAAGAAAAGCATAACGTTACCAAAAGTTTAGAAGATCTCGTCAAGTAGTTGCCACAAAACAATATCTAAGACCAAAAGACAGTAGATCCCTATTGGCTAGACCATTAAACAACAGGCAGAATCACTAGCACAAAGTCCATCAAATTTCATATTTGCACCATATTACATGAAAATACAGCTAGGATTAAACCACATGTGAGGCTATAATAAGTCAATGATCATAGTGCATAACATGACAACCCCAAACAACACCAAGCTATTCATCTGTTTGTCCCACTAGCCAAAACACTACACCTAAAAACCATAACATCAGCAACGCCATTGAATTCAACGAACAGCCACAAATGCACCAATTAAAACTGGCAAAAGCGGGCAAATATGCTGACCTGGGTCTTCCCCAAACGAGACTCGAGATCAACTTCATAATCCCTATGCTTCAATGGCTGCCTCTGCACTGGAGGTCCTTTTGCTGCACATACACGTTCAATAATTTAAGCATTATTCCATTCCAAAATCATAATATTTTATACCAATAAATCAAATTAAAGAAAACGTTCAGCTTACATTTAGATTTCGACCTTCCATCTTTTTCCTGTATCAAAATTCCACCAAAATAACAAAAATTCAGAAACAATAAATCAAACAATTAAATTAAATTAAATTCATGAAATAATTACTGAAAAATTGAACTCCCAAAACCTTTTCTTCTCGCTCCCGAGCTCGCTGCAAAAACTCTTCACGATCGAACTTCCTTCTAAAAGTGTTATCAACTCCAGCTGCCTGCATAATTCCACCCACAAAAAACTCACCAATCAATCAATTTTTTTATATAACATAAACAATTCCCAGTAACAATTTAAATTCTTCTAAATTTATAAATTTGAAAACAAATACAACAATTTCAGTAGTATCATAGCATTAATCCCAATGTCGGGGAAGGCTAGATGAACCAAGAATTAATTTCATGTACTCGTAAAAATTGAAAAATAATGCAAAGAATTAGATTGGTGATTTTAAATACTTACTTGATCATTGGATTGAGACATATTGGGATTTAGGAACTATCAATTAAAAACCCTAATTTAGTTTTACAGTAGAAAAAAAATTAATTAAATTATATAAAAAGAAGATTGGAGAGAAGTACTGGAATTTGAATAAATTGTGAGAATTCGAAAGGTGAAATTTGAGAGTTATATTTTGTTAATCTACTGTAGTGTGTAATTTAAAATATGCAGGCATTGAAGAATATGAACTCTTTTCTTGAGTTCGTACCAAGGTTAAATATTTTCTGACAAGATAAATCAACTTTAAAAATAATTAATTTAATTTCGAATCAGGGGTGCAAAATGGGTGTTTGGTCTAGTGGTATGATTCTCGCTTCGGGTGATTCTCGCTTCGGTTGCGTGAGGTCGTGAGTTCCATTCTCGCAACACACCCTTAAATACTTCTAAAATCTAAATAAACTAATTCATTTCTTTTTAAAAGTAATTGCTTCTAAATGAACAAATTCTCGTTTTTTTTTTTTTAAGTATATACTACCTATTGAGATAAATCTCATAAGAGATATGATTTTCATTCATAAAATCACAAAATGATGGTTAATATAAAAGTATGTATTATTGTAAAGATTTAGAAAATTCAACAAAAACACAGAAGTGCTATTAATTTTAAAAATGAGAGCTTGGTGAATGTTCTTGTGTTGTACTTGTACGTTATTGTTAAAATGCATGTATCCCCATAATAATACTATAACTTTAACATTTGGTAAAAATGTGTGTTAACTTGATTTCAACATAGTATAGTCGTGTGGGTTTTATTTATTGATTACATAGAGCTTTATTCTATCTAAATCTTGAACTCATTGAGAATCTATATCTACTTAAAACAAAGGTTCTCCAGAATTTCCAAGGAAATCTTTGGCAAAGGACCTCGAGGTCGATAAAAATGGGTATATTAAGTACTCATGTGAGTATTGTTCGCATTGTCTCACGTCAATACATATGCTAAAACTCTTATAACCTAATCTAAGTAGGCTACAATTTTGTTTTGCCAGATGTTTTAAAGATGAAGCATTTTTTTAAACTTGTTTTTAAGGATGAGGCCGCACTTGTGTGTTTATTGGTGAGTTTTAATTCTCCTCTTGCAAGATGTTTAGGGTTTAGGCTCCTCTTTTGGCATTAATTGCTCGGTTACAAGCTCTAATCATCGTGACTTTAGGAACAAGATGACAAAAAAAACATTTTAACTAATTAACAAGTATGTCTATCACTAGGTTCCATAGCTTCATATTGAATTTATCTAGACCGATCTCAGACACATTACAATATTACATACATGACGCTTTTGGAAATCCATTATTACTTCTACATTGTGATATATTTTCTTCATTCTAATAATATTGTAACAAGGATGAAAATCGCATCTAGCACACATTTTATATGTTACATATCTATAATTGTATAAGATTGAAAATCATAAAAACTTAATATTATGAGATGATTCTAACAAGACCACATATAACTATATTTTTATATAAGCAAATAAGAGTGATAAATACTCCCTACGTCTTTTTATTAAAGACCTGTATTCCTTTTTTGGCAAATCAAAATTAAAAACCTATTTCTATCTCAAGATTGTACTATTTGAGAATATTCTCCACTTTTTGATGAGTTGTCATCACTTTTTTAAATTGTACTATTTGGGAATATTCTCTATTTTTTGATGAGTTGTCATCACTTTTTTGTATTAATAATGACTTTTTATACTTCCTCCGTTTTTTTTTATCGCATCACTTACTACTTTAGGAAGTTTACTTATTATTGCATCATTTCCTTTTTAGGATAAAAAATATCTATGTTCACACTGCAAATACCCAATATACCCTTACTTTTTCATACTTACTTTTTATTTTATCTTACATTACATGGACAATTTTGTATTTTTACGTTTCTCTCTCTTACTTTTTTCCACTACCAAATTTTGCCTCCAAAACCCTATAATGCAATAAAAAAAAACGGAGGAAGTATCAATTTCGAACACTTTCTCTCCTCCTCTATCCAATAATTCTCAACCACTTTTTTTTTTTTTTTTTTTTGCAAAGTTTAATTATTGCAATACTTTGTATTACTCGAACGTATGACGGTTATTTATCCCGAGCATGCAACAAACTCACTTACACACCACCTAATGCCGTCATGGCACGTGGCATCATTCAATTAGTTGAATCATCATATTTCGTGTCATTCGTTGCCACATCAGACATACTACGAGATTAAGACACAGCTAAAAATAACTTCAAACGATCAAGCCCCAAATTTCAAAGGTGTTTATAAAAGGACCAACGCTCAACTGCTTCACCTTTCTGGTTATTTTTTTTTTTCAGAAGAAAACTCAAAAATGGCGAAATCTCAGATCTGCTTCTTCGTCGGAACCCTAGCTTTGCTCCTCGTTTCATCGGCTTTTGCCGACGATGTCGTCGTTTTGACAGAGGAGAACTTCGATAAGGAGGTTGGTCAAGATCGTGGTGCTCTCGTTGAATTTTACGCTCCTTGGTAACAATTCATTTTTTTATCTCTATAATTTTCTTCCGATTTTGTTGTAATAATCGTTTTCAGCTCAAATTTTCTCAATTTTAGTATTTTTTAATTCGGTTTTTGATTGATCTTTGATTTTAGATGATTATTTGTTGAAATACTAGATCTGATTGTTTGATTAGTTATCGTATTTGGAAATGATGAAATGCGGTTTAGTTTTTGGTTGATTTTGGAACTCGTATTGTTTCCTGATGATTTCTATCAAGTGTGTGACTGTGAAATGGAGAAAATGTTAGCTGAAGAGGTGTACGATGTTTTTGAAAATTCCGCCATTTAAAAATTAGAGAATTGATTGCGTTTATTATAAATGTAACAAAATATTGCACGTTGAATGGAAGGATTAGAAGTGCTGAGTCAACGTTGTCTTTTTCCAATGAAATAATAATTGAGATAGATTATTTGCGCACAATTATAATGGTATTCGAAAGTTTGTATTATTAGTTCACACTTCTAAATGATCCTTAGGAATGTATGGCACTTTTGTTGAACCGATGACCAATGGATATAATTCGGTTTAATTGATGGTTCATTGGAAAGTTGATGGTTCATGTTGAAAGCAAAATAGCAAAGATGATATGTTTTAATTAGTTGAATAGAAATGAAATTCAATGATTACATGGACAAAAGAGCATGATAATGGCCCATCAGTCACCAATATTAGAATTTAGAAATGACGTATCATTTATTTTTATTCTAATTATGTAGCGTACTTAGTTTATTATATGTCATATGTCATGCATATATTTTTAGAAAAGAAACTTGGAATATCACAGATATATTTATAGCTTCAAAGCTTCATTCTGTTTGCCTCCAGTCTTAAGACTCTTAACAAGTGGGTATTTTCTACATGACTAAAATTATGTATTTTGCGACATCTTGTTCTTGTCTTCTTGATGCTCTTCAATGAGTGGGTGTTTAAATTTAACATAGCATGCTTTGTGAGTTTGAGACACTTTGAGTTGCATATTTTGTCGACTTATGTTTCCAAATTTGCTTATCTATCGTCTACTTAGTTTAGTACTATTTCAGGTCATATGAAAGAAGTGGAGAGGCATATCTTCCTTTACAGTTCTTGGTGTTTCATTTTATTTTTGATCTAATTACTACTCATGGGAATCACGACCCAAGTTACTGGCTAGTGGCTACCATAGTTCATGGTGCCAAAGTGCATATCTAACCATTGTTACACATGAAAGTAGGATTCAAATTACTAAATGACTGTATATTCTACAGGTGTGGTCACTGTAAGAAGCTCGCCCCAGAGTTTGAAAAGCTCGGTGCAAGTTTCAAAAAGGCCAAATCTGTTTTGATTGGAAAGGTTAGTTATGCATGTTGTTGGTCTTTTTGCCATAAGTTTATCTTGATGAGAGTATATTGGATTACCAGATGAAGGATTGATGTTCATACGATAATCTAACCGGAGAAATGACGGGCTATGCTTATATTGATTGTTTGATACATGCTCCTTAGAATGATATTTTTATTGTTGTTGCTGGGGAGGGAGGGGGTGAAGCTTGCTCGGCTGTTGCTGCTACTTTTACATCCACATAAAGTATCTAAATTAAGTGATTTTGGGAATGCAGAATTAAAGCTGATACGTGATTTTCCTGATAGATTGGTGATTGAATATACCGCCTATGGGCTATGGTAAAATTGTGAGACTTGTGAAATAGGAGAACATTAGATCCAATTTTTCCTTCATTTTTTCTGATTAGTACTTGTGAACTCAAGGTGTTTAGATTAGATTAAGCTGTTCTACTGAACTTGAATTTTGAGACTTCATTTAATCTGTGCTGAATGAACAATCGTAGTTTTTCTTTAGCATCATCTCTTCAATGTTTCCGTTGATTGGTGTCGGGAATACATTCTTTTTAACTAAATATTTAATTTCTCTGCAGGTGGATTGTGATGAGCACAAAAGCCTGTGCAGCAAATATGATGTTTCAGGATACCCCACAATTAAGTGGTTTCCAAAAGGATCCTTGGAACCCAAGAAGTGAGTTTGTACATCTCTGTAGTCTGTACTATCACCTGAATGCTGTTTATCTTTGCTATGTAATGGTTGAATGCTTTGTGTGCAAGTATCGTTATTTATCTGTAAATGTTCTCTGTATGCAGATATGAAGGTGCACGTACAGCTGAGGCACTTGCTGAGTATGTTAACTCTGAAGGAGGTATGTTGCAACTTGATTAGTGATTCTCTTAAATAATGTGAATTGTTTTTTGATTTAGTGGTTGTTAATTGAATTGTTTATTATAGTAGTTGCAGACTTCTTTGGACTATATGTAGATTACCTTAATTCCTTATCATATCTTTTGTTTCATGGAGGACCTTTGCCTTATACAGAGTACTATCGAGCAATAAAATGAAATTAATTTGACCTATTAGTTTTCAAAATACTCTTTGTTGCTCCATCACTATTACAACTTGATGTCAACTTCTGCTTATATATCCTATGTGCAAAGCACTGAGTACTTTGCTATTGTCTTCCTGTAGTAGGTGTTAGAGTAGTTCTGAGACTGGGAAGGCATTTTTGTAGGAAACATAGATTTTGTAGTTTGAATTCATTACAACTCCCTCACCAGGTGGAATTTCAATCTATGAAACCCTTGAATACTCTCTAACAGATGCCCGTTCGACCTAATCATACTGTGTTGATTTTTTTATTTATTTTTTATTATTGCATGACGTGATGGAAAGTGGCTACTAAAAGACATCCCCTACCCATCCCCATTTTCCCAAAAAGTGAAATGGAAAAGAAAAAAAAAAAAAAAATCTTCTGCGCACTTTTTATTATGCTGAGTATTCTCCTTCCTATGAAGTTGATGAGCTTTAGTTGTCATGTAACAAACTAATAATAGCTATTACTACCTATCCATCCAATATTCATGTAATGGTGTTTCGGTTCTAAGTCTCTCCATGTTAATTGATGACTGTTATTGTCACGGTCATTTAGTAACTCTTATTTTTTTGCAAATTAAAGCATTCCTACTTTGACAAGTCAATTATTAATATAGTTTCCTCGTATATCAGTAAAAAAGAACATTGTTAAAAGTCTAGAAGACCATTATCAGGTGCATGTTATCTGTACATCTGATTTCTCTTTTCTTCTGTGTTGATTTATTTGCTTTTATCAGGGACCAATGTGAAGATTGCTACTACGCCTTCAAATGTGGTGGTACTATCTACAGATAACTTTGATGAAGTTGTCATGGATAAATCAAAAGATGTTCTTGTTGAGTTCTATGCCCCATGGTTAGTTATATGCTTTGTTTACTGTACTTCACACATTCCACATATATCTCTGACATTGATTGGCTACTGCTTGAACTAATTTATGAGATTTAGTTTTGGTTAATTTAAATTGATTCTGAAGTGATTTCTATTGGTATAATATTATAACTCCATCTCATATATGCTTATGCTGTTTCTCAGGTGTGGTCACTGCAAGGCATTGGCTCCTGTAAGTGAAAAAGTTGCTTTCACTTTATTTTTTTAGTGGGTGCATTACCAGTTTATATGATTATTGAGCCTGCTATCTTGCCATGTTGTAGACTTACGAAAAGGTTGCTACTGCATTTAAATCGGAAGATGTGGTGATTGCAAGCCTTGATGCTGACAAATACAAAGATTTGGGAGAGAAGTTCGTTCACTTTTCTCTTGGGCCGTTGGCCATCTGATATTTCATTGTGTTCTGGATTTTGGTTACTGTAACTTGCTTAAAGATTGCATGTCTAACTGTCTTGAACTTCGTTTACTTTATTTGTCAGATATGGCATAAGTGGCTTCCCAACTTTGAAATTCTTCCCCAAGAGCAACAAGGATGGTGAAGATTACGATGGTGGTCGAGATTTGGAGGACTTTGTTAGTTTTATCAATGAGAAGTGTGGCACCAGCCGTGACAGTAAGGGCCAACTTACCACACAGGTGATGTGCTTCACTATTAGTTCTTATAAATTTGCAAGTGATAGAGAGACCCAGGAAAGAATCCCTTTAATCCGACACTGCTCTCCAAAAATTAGGCTGGTATCATTGCATCCTTGGAAAACCTGGTGAAGGAATTTGTAAGTGCAACCGCTGATGAGAAGAAGGCTGTCTTTAACAAATTGGAGGAAGAAGTTGGGAAGCTTGAAGGCTCCGCGGCAAGGTAGAAGAATATTTCAGTTTTATTTTATTTTATTCTCTTTATCTTTTGAAAATGGGGAAGAGAAGTTAAATAAATCTCTTTAAGGAATGGTTGCGTGCATCAGTGCATGTTATATTGGATTGTGTCTGATTTCTTTTTTATTTTTTATTTTCCAGGTACGGAAAGATCTATACTAAGGCTGCCAAGAGCTCCTTGGAAAAGGGTGCCGACTATGCTACAAAGGAAATCCAGAGACTTGAGCGCATTCTTAGCAAGGTAACCATATTATGGCTATGACTGTCTGTTAGAGTCTAAAATCTAAATTTTGTGCAAGCTGTAGTTGAAGTTGGCAATTTGTGTTTGGTACTTGATCAATTCTGGTATCCTTGCTTTTAGGTTGCTTAAGCATCAATTTCAATTAAAAAAATTACTACCTCTGTCCTAGAATAATTGGCCATTTGTCTATTTTGGTCATTACAAATAAAAGGCCGCGTTCTGAATAGTATGATAAGTTTTGAATTTTCTATGATTATGCTATCGCTTTTAAAGATACCCTTATAAGAATTACATAGAAAGACTTATTTGGTATGGCAGAGATGTAAAAAGTAAAATATTAGAGAGAATGGCTTTAGTAGTTGCTCACTTGTTACACTAAAAGTATAGCGGTTTCTGGAAAGCATGGTAACTGTAATGTGCATTAATATGGTGTATTGGCTTCAATTGAATGTTTCTATTAACATGTTAAGATATAGCATTCCTTTGTGATTTTGGTCTGAGAATGAAAATATAATCTGTTCTGCTGTCTACTTCGGCTTCACAATTAGTAGGTACAATCAATTAGCAATTACCATGAAAAATTAAGCTAGTATGTATATATATCATATTCATGGAGATAGTAGGCATCCATGTCTCCTTTTAGTGACACGCATGGAATGGAGAGGTCAGGGGATTATGGAGTCTAGGTGTTAAAGAAAATGAGGTAGTAGAAGTTGAAGACTTGAAGCAGGGAGGAATTGGAGTACTATTATAAGTTTCGGCCGGTGTACTCTTATTATGTATCCCCTTATTTATTACCCGTCAATTCATTCCCTATACTCCAAGTAGAATATATTGTATTCATCTGCTGTATTCAATTTTCTGCCATGACCGAAGAGAGTTACTGTTATTTGTGTAATGTTTCTGCTGACATGACTGAGGATTGACAAAGCCTTACTCTGATGAGAGGGCAATTAATGATTTTACTTGAATGAAAATATCTACTGGTTATGATCATTAGATTATAAAAGGATATAAATAAAGTCATGTGCAATAGCATATGTATTGTTCTTTTCCCTGAGAGAGCCTGTTCTGTTTTTGCTCATTTATTAAATGAGCAAATAACTCCGGGTGTACGGTACACCCGGGTGTATATAACAAATTCTATTTCTATGAGGGGTGGGGCAAAATACAATGAACGATCAATAACGTAGCTGTAAATTGAGGATTTTTATTTTCTTGCTCCATTGTCAACTTATGAAGTTGCGGAGTTTTTTTTTTTCCCGTGTCCTTAGAGTTGTGCCAGGGCCAATTTTAGCATTGTCCACACTTGATCTCTAGTAACTTTTGTTCCTTGTTTCATGCAGGCCATCAGCTCGGCAAAGTCTGATGAGTTCACTCTAAAGAAGAATATCTTGTCCCTTTTTGCCGCTTGATCAGCTGGCTATTACGTATGATGTTAGTTGAACATTCATACCCCGAGGGCTGATATTGCAGATACTATTTTCGCTTGGGGGAGAGGTTTATCAGTAGTGTTGATGGTGCACATTGTTTGCTGCACAGTTTTGCTCCTAGAGCAGCTTAACAGTACTTGTAGAATCTATAGTTTTGGTCACACTAGATATAATAACACTTCTTGGAGGAACGTTGACTTTGTCTTGCTTCTCTGATCCATTTTGTTACCCCTTTTATACGAAGTGAACTTCAACTATCATATGAATCAACCTACAATTTAAGACATGTCATCACTCATTCACTCTGTTGCAACTGCAACCCATGCTCCCCTCGGGTTCTTTACTCGCTTTGCAGCTTTTCGATTCAAGTACTTGAAAGCCTTCTTAACTTGCTGCAGATCAGTAAACAATCGGTAATCCAAAGAAGCCTATACAAAAAATTCTCCAGAGACCGTAATACGAATTATGGGGATGTTGTACACACTCATTTGTGCATTCTATCTAAACGTTTGAAGTTGCTGAAATAAGGAAACTTATCTAAAATGTTTCTTGTTTGCTGCTACTTGAGTAATCTGAAAATGGTGGGCTTAGGAGTTTGAGCAGGGGACACACACACACACACTGTAAAAAGGGTGCTAACAGTAGTACAGGCAAAGCTGCCACAATTTAATTAACACTCACTTCTCCCTTCGACAAGATCCGCTACATACGCCCACTTTATTCCTGCCCTTTTTTTTTTTTTTTTTTTTTTTTGATTTTCTATTTTAAATTTTAGTGAGTTGTTCTTTTCTCTTCAACTTTGTACCCCAATTTTAGTGCCAGAGTCCCGTGCTTCTACATTATGAGAAAATGATCTTAGCATGCTTTCTCTGGCTCACTGCTCTTGAAGTTTTTTTATGAAGGTTGCATTAACTAAAATAACCGTAAGGTTTGTTTGTTTTTCAGGGGAATCGAGACCATCATTATTACTCCCTCCGTCCTATTTGTTTGTCCCATATTTCATTTTCAGCCGTCTTTTAAAAATTGTCTCATTTCTTGTATACAAATTTAGGGTAAGTTTATTGGTGAGTCTTAAGTGGAGTCTTGACTCAAGACGTGTTTTTTGCAATAATGTGGCGCAAGACTATATGTAGTCTTGAGATGAGTTTTGAAATCCAAAACTCATCTTAAGACTCTACAAATTAAAAAAGAATTCTGATTTTTTTTTGTTGGCCAATGATGAGCTGCCAACTCATCAACTCAAAATAGTTATGGATATTTTAATAATGAGTGTTAATATTTTTTAGGAGGGTAAGTGAGTCTTGGGATAATGTGTTATATTGGAGAAAGTTTAGTATGAGTCTAAATAATAAAAAATAATTTAAAGTTAGTAAAAAGTTGACGTGACAGAGTCTGATGTGTGAGTCTGGATCTTGGGATAAACTTACCCTTACACAGTAATAACACGTTCGTTGTTTTTTCCATTTACCTCATTTGCACACACTCGCAAAAGTGAAAAGAGAAAGATTTTCTCAATAAACCACATTTTGACAATTAGGGCTAATTTTAAACTAAATCGAGTATTATGAAATTTAATCACTTGTTAACAGAGTGCCAAAAAAAAAAAAATCATATATATTATGCAGTTTTATATGTTTCACTTGCAAAAACCAGGGTAATCTGCCTAAAAAAAAAAAAAAAACAGGGTAATCAATAACAAAATCAATATCAAAATGGAGGAAAATAACTTCAAAAGGCTGATTGGTGTTTCATTAAATTGATAATGTCATTGATATGTTGCATACTTGCATCAATTGCATGCTACAGTATATTGAAAGCTGAGCTAAAAGCAATTGGTAAATGAATTTTGCTCACCAGTCACCATTTACGATTTACCCATTAACATTTTGCTCAACCTTCATTAGCCTCTCCTAGTTACTTTATTGATATCCTAACTTCCTAAGCAAAATAATTTATAGTTATTGATAATTTAAAATATTAATTGGTAAAGTTCTACGTCCACATAAAAAAATGAAAGGAATATCATTTTGGGAAATATAATTAGAGTACAAGTGTTTTTTTTTTTTTTTTTTTTTCTTTTTTCGAAAAAACAAATGATAACGCCAAGGCTTATAAATTTGAGTGATTGTCTCTCATTCTCCAATATAGAACAACACTTTCACTCACATGTAAATTACTCGTACAATAATAATCAAATAGAGTAGAAATCGAGGACCATAGAAATAATTTTTTGCCGTTTAGGTATGGGGGAGTAGTAGATTCGTAGTGATAAACTTATATGGATCACATAGAATGTTGTTGCATACCATTTTGTCCCACGTTCCATTCTTTAAATTCTAATAATGCAGTTGAACTGAAAATATTCCCCAATTTTCTTTACAAAAAAAATAAAAAATGTCCTAGTCTCTAAGGGGGTGTATTCGGTTTTCGGTTTGAATTTTGGTCAAATCCAATTTGATCCGAATTTCTCATCAATCCAATCCGAATTACAATTCAATTATTTGGATCCGATCCGAAAATTCGAATTAAAATACATTGCAAATTTTTAGGGTCTAATGTGATTATAAAAATAAAAATGCAATTATAAATTTGTACATTATTAATACAAGTATCGAAAACATAGTTTTACATAATTTATATTAATGTAATTATCAACATAATTTTACATGAATAATAAAAAACAATCATTATTTGTAAAATTATGGTTTGATATTTCGGTTAATTCAGTTTTTTGGATCCAAACAAGGTTAATCCGATTCGATCCGAAAATCCGAATTTTCCAAAAAATTAAATCCGATCTGATCCGCATTAAAATTTAGATCCAATCCAAATTAATAATTCAGTTTGAATTGAATTGGATTTCGGTTTTTATCCGAATAATGGGCACCCCTACTTAGTCTTAATATTTGTTGGTGCAAATATCATTTTCTTGGGATGAAAGGGAGAGAGAAGAAGTTAGGCATGGATAAGAGAAATGAACAGGCCAAAATGGACTTTAGAATTAATACTCCAAAGAAAACACGACGCAGCTGCAGGTGTGGGTTTGATTTTGCCCCAATAAGTCAACATCTTAACTAACCCCAGTTGGTGTATTAATGTCCTCCACTTATTTTCAATACACCATCTGTTTTCAAAATTTTAACTCGCTTGCTGTAATTTTGCTTCTAAAAAAGTTCGTTAAAAAAAATAAATAAATTAAATTTAAGGGTTTGTTTCATTTCATATATGCATTTTAATCTAGAGGTAATTGGCCATTGGCGTATATGGTGTCTGAGTGTCTCTACAACTCTACACACATTGACACACGCACAACTGTGAAACACATTGGTGTGGTTGCACAAGATTAGTACTATGTAGTACATACGTATCAGCCGATCACGTACAAAAGGTACTAGTTAAGTTCCTTTAGAGGAGTATGATATAGTAATATGTTAAATACGGGTCTGGACCGCACCCGCAAACTGAAAAAGAGAGTCCATTTCACAAGATCAAAGGAGGTTCTATCCCAAAACCATATGGCAGTAGGAGTAGTCCCTTAGTCTTATAAAGTGATTAACTCTCTCTTCTTTTCTCAATGTGAGAGACTTACATGTATTATTTAGTATTGTAGGATATACTTCAACATAACCACTTACACTGGCTCAAAATTATAATTCAAAGCAATTGGACTTTGGCAAAACTTAACAACAGTATATTTCATACAAACAAAAAAAAAATAGCAATTGTAGATTTGTAGTTTCTCTGGTAGTAGATTCTCTGAAACACTAACCTTAAAAAAAGGCTACATACCAATATGAAGTATAGTCATTAGTCATACGCAATTGGTCAGGTAAAACTGTAACTTGAGTATATCTGAGAGGTAAGATATTGAAGTACTGTAATAAGATAGAGAATTTTGGGAAAAAAATACTTGTAATGTGTGTTTTTATGTGAAGTAATCTAGCTCAATCAAATCGGCTGGCCCAACATTTTGGCTTCATGTTTGTGTAATTGTTGTATGCATAAACATTGCAGATTTGCAACCCGTCTTTTTATAGATTGTCTCGTACACGGTACACTACTTTGGCTTCCCTAAGTTTGTATGAAGTAAAACAATGACAGATCAATAATGCATGGTAGTATATACGTAGTATGTATAACTCCGATCCATTCGTTCCTTCAAGTTTGCTCCAACACCTTTATTTTGATAGTCCTTTTAAATTTGTCTCATATCATAAATATATAGTCGTAAGAAATTATTAATTAACTTTCACGTACAATATATTTGGACTCACCAATATTCATTCTTCTAGTTGATTCTAATCGGTCAAAAGTTAATAAGTAAAATTCATTCATATGGGGCAAACAAACTAGTGGGCGAATTAAGTATTCCATATAAAATTTCTTAGTATCTTGAAAAAAATGAGGCACATAAGTTTGCAAAGAACAAATAAGGGAAATTTGCCCAAAATAACACGAACTTTGGCCGGTTCGCCAATAATAACACCACCTTTGAGTTATTCCAAAATAACACCAACTTTGGGGGGTGTCTTCCAAAAATGGTACAAAAAAAATGGTAACCGGATTTAGGAGGTAATATTGCTGACGTGTGTTATGTCTTTGCCAGGTTGTGCGTTGCTTCCCCTTAACCATCCAACGTGTTCTTTCTTCTTCTTTATAACCGTTAGAAAAAAATGCCAAGCCCTTTATTCTTCCTTCTTCTTCATTCTCTGTTGTTCCTCTCTCAGTAGTCGTTGCTCCATCTTCTTCCTCTGTTTCTTTGTTTTCCTCTCTCTTAATTTGTTGCTCCTTCTTCATCTTCAAGTTCTTTGTTTTCCTCTGCTCTTCATCTCTCTTTAATCGTTCGTGTTGTATCAATTTTAGTGCTCTTAAAAAATTAATCAATGGCTACAAGAAGGTCAATTTCGAACCAATCATGTTCATCCTCTAGCATAAAAAGGATGGGTAATTCGAAAATTCGTTGCAATTGTGGGAATGAAGCTTTGATTAAAACTGTGAGAAAAGGCCCTAATTTGGGGATGAAGTTCTACGGCTGCCCTATGTGGCCAGTAAGTTGTGATTGATTGTCCTATGTTTATTGCATCTTTTTTTGTTTATTGCATCTTTTTTTGTTTATTGTAATTTGGGGATATGTAATTGTAATTACCCTAATTTGGTGTTGTTTATTGTTCATATTTACTGGATGCAGGACACTCAATGTGATTTTTTCAAGTGGGTGAATGAGCAGGCTGAGATGGAAGATTATGAAGTGAAGTTGTTGGAAAAGGAAACCGTAATTGGTGAGTT